GAGGGCTGTTTTCCTGTTCTGTCTTAGAAAGCCTTCTGTTTCGACCGCCAAACCTGTCAGGGGAACATTTGCAACCGTTTGGTACGATTTTTGAGTGAATTGCCAGAAGTCAGATTTTTTTGGAAATTGTGACCCCGGGAATTAGGGATGTTTTCAAAAAATTCTTTTTCTGCCGGTTAAGTTGTTGAGGGCTGATTTCTTTTCCTGTGATAAAAAACCTTCTGTTTCGACCGCCAAACGTCTCAGGGGAGCATTTGCCACCGTTTGGTACCATTTTTGAGTGAATTGCCGAAAGTCAGATTTTTTTAGGAAATTGTGACCCCGGGACTTAGGGTTTTTTTTTGAAAAAAATCATTTTCTGCCGGTGAAGTTGTCGAGGGCTGATTTCCTGTCCTGTGATAAAAAGCCTTCTGTTTCGACCACCAAACCTTTCATGGGAGCATTTGCAACCGTTTGGCACCATTTTGGAGTGAATTGCCGAAAGTCAGATTTTTTATGAAATTGTGACCCTCGGCTTAGGGATTTTTTCAAAAAAATCTTTTCCTGCCGGTTAAGTTGTCGAGGGCTGATTTCTTTTCCTGTGATAAAAAGACTTCTGTTTCGACTGAAAACCTTTCACGGGAGCCTTTGCAACTGTTTGGTACCATTTTTGAGTGTATTGCCGAAAGTCAGATTTTTTATGAACTTGTGTCAACGGGGCTTAGGGATTTTTTTAAAAAAATCTTTTTCTGCCGGTTAAGTTGTCGAGGGCTGTTTTCCTGTCCTGTGTTAGAAAGCCTTCTGTTTCGACCGCCAAACCTCTCAGGGGAGCATTTGCAACCGTTTGATACGATTTTTGAGTGAATTGCCAGAAGTCAGATTTTTTTGGAAATTGTGACCCCGGGAATTAGGGATGTTTTCAAAAAATTATTTTTCTGCCGGTTAAGTTGTTGAGGGCTGATTTCTTTTCCTGTCATAAAAAACCTTCTGTTTTGACCGCCAAACGTCTCAGGGGAGCATTTGCCACCGTTTGGTACCATTTTTGAGTGAATTGCCGAAAGTCAGATTTTTTTAGGAAATTGTGACCCCGGGGATTAGGGTTTTTTTTGAAAAAAATCATTTTCTGCCGGTGAAGTTGTCGAGGGCTGATTTCCTGTCCTGTGATAAAAAGCCTTCTGTTTCGACCACCAAACCTTTCATGGAAGCATTTGCAACCGTTTGGCACCATTTTGGAGTGAATTGCCGAAAGTCAGATTTTTTTTATGAAAGTGTGACCCCGGGGCTTAGGGATTTTTTCAAAAAAATCTTTTCCTGCCGGTTAAGTTGTCGAGGGCTGATTTCTTTTCCTGTGATAAAAAGCCTTCTGTTTCGACCGCCAAAACTCTCAGGGGAGCATTTGCAACCGTTTGGCACCATTTTTGAGCAAATTGCCAAACGTCAGATGTTTGCTGAAATTGTGACAGAGCGGCTTAGGGATTTTTCAAAAAAGAGATTTTCCACAAGTTCAGTCGTTGAGGGCTAATTCTTTTTCGTATTATAAAAACCTTTCTGTTTCCACCGAAAAACCTCTTAGGGGAGCATTTGCAAGAGCTGGGCAGCATTTCAGGGGAGCATTTGCAACAGTTTGGCACCATTTTTGAGTGAATTGCAGAATGTCAGATTTCTGCTGAAATTGTGACCCCGGGGCTTAGCGATTGTTTTAAAAAAACTTTTTCTGCAGGGTAAGTTGTACAGGGCAAATTCTTTTTCCAATGACAAAAACCCTTCTGTTTCCACCGAAAACCTTTCAGGGGAGCATTTGCAACATCTGGGCGCCATTTTTGAGTGAATTGCAGAACGTCAGATTTTTGCTGAAAATGTGACCGTGTGGCTTAGGGATTTTTCAAAAAAAAGGTTTTCCGCAAGTTCAGTCGTTGAGGCCTGATTCTTTTTCCGATGATAAAATCCCTTCTCTTTCCACCGAAAAACCTCTCACGGTAGCATTTGCATCAATTTGGCACTATTTTGGAGTGAATTGCAGAACGTCAGATTTTTGCTGAAATTGTGAAAATGTTTAGGGATTTTTTCAAAAAAAAGTTTTTCCGCATGTCCAGTCGTCGAGGGCTAATTCTTTTTCCGATGATACAAACAAATCTGTTTCTACCGAAAAACCTTTCGGGGGAGCATTTCGAACAGCTGGGCACCATTTTTGAGTGAATTGAGGAATGTCAGATTTTTGCTGAAATTGTGACTCCGGGGCTTAGGGATTTTTTCAAAAAAATCTTTTTCCGAAGCTTAAGTTGTGGAGGGTTGATTTCTTGTCCTGTCAGTAAAAGCCTTCTGTTTCCGCCGCCTAACCTTTCAGGGGAGTATTTGCAACCATTTGGCACCATTTGTGAGTGAATTGGAGAAATTCAGATTTTTGCTGAAATTGTGACCCCGGGCGTCAGAACTTCACAAAAAATCTGACCTTATGCAATTCACTCAAAAATTGTGCCAAACCGTTGCAAACGCTCCCCTGAAAGGTTTGGCAGTGAAAACAGAAGGGTTTTTCTCCTAGGTTAATAAATCAGGCCTCAACTCCGGATGCTGCTGAAAATCTTTTTTTGATAAAATCCTTAACCCGTGGGGTCAGAATTTCACCAAAATTACTGACGCCATCCAATTACCTCAAAAAGTGTGCCAAACTGTTGAAACTGCTCCCTGAAAGGTTTGGCGGGGGAAACTGAACGGTTTTTATGCTAGGCTAATTAATCAAGCGTCGACTACTTGACCTGCACAAAATCTTTTTTTGGAAAAATCCCTAACCTGCGGGGTCAGAATTGCAATAAAATTCTGACATCATCCAATTCACTCAAAAATGGTGCCAAACTGTTGAAAATGCTCCCCTGAAAGGTTTGGTGGGGGAAAGAGAAAGTTTTTTATTCTAGGCTTAGAAATCAGGCCTCGATGTCTTACGCTGCGGATTTATTATTTTTTTTTAAATCCCAAACAAGTTCAGCAAGAACCTGACGTTACCCCATTCAGTCAAAAATGGTGCCAAACGGTTTTAAATTCTCCCCTGAGAGGTGTGGCAGTGGAAACAGCAGGGTTTTTATCATAGGCCATGAAATATGCCCTCGACACTTTCACATTCGGAAAAACATTTTTTTGAAAAAACCCCTAACCCGCTGGGGTCACAATTTAAAAAATCTGACATTATCAAATTAACTGAAATATGGTGCCAAACTGTTGCAAATGCTCCCCTGAATGGTTTGGTGATGCAAAAAGCACGTTTTATTATATACCAAAAAAATCAGCCCTCAGTACTTTAACCTGTGGGAAAATGTCAGTATTTTGGTGAAGACCGTGACCCTCGTTCTGGGCACTGAGGGCTCATTTTTCAGCTTACCTGGAAACGCGGTGTTTGCACCAAAAAGCCTTGCAGGGGGCAATTTGCAGGTTTTTGGCATCATTTTTGAGTGAATCACACACTTTTGGGATTTTGGCGAAATCCGTGACCTGCGGGCATTGTTTCACTGATGGTTTTTAATCGTTTTACTGTTTTACTGATGGTTTGTTAATTATTTTATTTGTTTTATGTTGTGATGTTGCATTCTGTTATTGTTATTTATTGTTTGTAAGATGCTTTGTGACTTGTGTGAGTGAAAAGTGGCTTTGGGATGTATGAAATGAGCTGTAGTCATTCTTCTGTCTATGGGTGATCAACATTCCTCGGCCAAACTGATCACCTAGTTCACTATTAGGAAAAATGAGACTTGAAATACACTGGCAAATTTTGGACGCAAAATGGTTTGTTTAGCATGAACAGATTTTTTTCTTTTTCAAAAAATGTGAAATGGTGTTGACATGGACTGATATCCTATAATAGTGGTGGCAAACCTATGGCATGAGTCATTGTGCCAGCAGTGCTGTTGTTTGGGGTTTTCAAATTGGGCAGCCACTTCCCTCCACATTTCCTCGTGCGTAAACCGATCCGTCAAGTGCGCGGCTCCCACAGCAAGCTTAGAGACAGTTTATCGGCCGCCAAGCAGGTGTTTTCCTGCCCTCCCCCCCACCCAGCGATTGGTGGGATTTTTTGCAGCGAGCAGCAGATAGTCAGCGGCTGTAGTTCATGTGATTGGTTGCTGCCTGCAATTCTTGAGACTATGTGTTGTTTCTGCTCCGTGTGCCACAGGAAGTATTTATAATGCATGTGAGTGTTCCACCCCAAAAAAACAACATTGATCCAAGCCCCCCAAAAGCTCTGCAAGTCTTGGCGCTCCCCCCAAAAATTCTGGGCAATGCCCCCCAAAAGCTCAACAACTCAGGGCAGCCCCCCACAAAAGCTCATTATTAAACGGTATATTAATTATTGTTGTTCTTTAGTCGTTTAGTTGTCTCCGACTCTTCATGACCCCATGGACCAGAGCACGCCAGACACTCCTGTCTTCCACTGCCTCCCGCAGTTTGGTCAAACTCATGCTGGTAGCTTCGAGAACACTGTCCAACCATCTCATCCTCTGCCGTCCCCTTCTCCTTGTGCCTTCAATCTTTCCCAACTTCAGGGTCATTTTCAGGGAGTCTTCACTTCTCATGAGGTGGCCAAAGTATTGGAGCCTCAGTTTCAGGATCCGTCCTTCCAGTGAGCACCCAGGGCTGATTTCTTTCAGACTGGAAAGTTTGATCTTCTTGCAGTCCATGGGACTCTCAAGAGTCTCCTCCAGCACCATAATTCAAAAGCATCAACTCTTCGGCGATCAGCCTTCTTTATGGTCCAGCTTTCACTTCCATACATCACTACTGGGGAAACCATAGCTTTAACTATATGGACCTTTGTTGGCAAGCTGATGTCTCTGCTTTTTAAGATGCTGTCTAGGTTTGTCATGTTAAATTGCCGTGTTGGCACTTTGCGATAAATTAGTGGGTTTTGGGTTGCAGTTTGGGCACTCTGTCTCCAAAAGGTTCGCCACCACTGTCCTATACCCTTATACTGTGGGGGGGTTGGGGGTTGGGGGGGGGTTATTGGGTTGTTGTTTTCATTTTCATTATTATTTATTATTCATTTATAAAACAGCAAAATATATAAAGGGAGCAAGAGAACTTAAGATTGGGAAACAGAGAAGCAAAAGAAACAAAATCTATCCCTAGTTAGGAAACATGCACAAGATAATGTTGTTGCATTTTGGGCGTACCAGAGGTATATGATTGCTTACTGTGGAAAACAGGACTAGAAAGGTTGATTTGACAGATACTTTCATGGTTTGTTAATACTGGGATTTAAGGACATAAGAAACAGATCTTTACTCCCAAATTCCAGTAGCCACCAATGCAGCCACATATCTCATCTGTGGGGCTGTTAATATGCCAAAGGGTCAATACACTTATCTGAGCATATTCACAAGCAATAGTAATAGTCAGGGGCATAATGTGGTCTTTCAGATTTCAGCAGTGTCCTATGTGGGGCCCAAATTCAGCAACCCCCCCTTCTGTTCTGTTCAATTCACCATGTCATAGTTGCGATGCCCTGTGATGCCACAGGCTCAGTGCCCAGTGCAGCAGAACCAGTCACACTGATCTAAATCCGCCTCTGTAATACTACAATCCTATAAACGTTAACCCAGAAGTAAGTTTCAATGTACTCAATGGGGTTTCCTCCCATAGTAAGTTTGCTACTAGTACATTAAAAAACAATAATTTGTATGCTATTTGTTTTTATTATATACTAACAAAGGACATAATTTTTTTTAAACAAGTGCTTTTATTTTTATTTTTTAATGAACATGATAGCCCTACAAGCTTACAAAAATTCACTGCAGTTTTACACAACTAGTGTATTATTTACAGCTGCTAGTACTCACTGAGAATTCAAAAGTCCAGAGCTGGAAATGTTTATATAAAACTCTTGGGTTATTGTCTCCTGGTGTATTTCTTTCCTTCCTATAACATTTTCCAAGATGCTTTAAAGTAGAAATTATTGTAAGTGAACCAGGCCTACATCTATACTCATTGTATCAATCCTTAAATGTTACGAGTGTGTCTTCAAGGAAGTAGGCTTCCAATTTTAGGCCCATGATCCATTGTGAGCAGCTGCATATAATCCATGGGAAAATCTATTGGTGTTTGTGAAGAAGTAGCTTGATTTGATAATATTAAAAATAAATCATCAATGAATTTTGAAGATCAGGTGCTGGTTAAAAATGTCTTCTGTATGCTTCTTCCAATTACTTTTGTTGTCACTGCTAAATAGAAAGTAAGCAATGAAAATGTAAGGTTACATACATATATAATTATCCTTTGTGTAGATACCTACTAAGAGTCTTTGATTAATTTATTATATTAAACTGGTTCCATATGCAAGTAACACTATGTAATAATTATAAGATCGTTTCAATTTTTTTTTGTCTAGAGTCACTCAACAGACACTGATAACCCCATTGCACAATCATTGCTGCCATTATTACTTTCCAAATTATCTGTGTTACAATAAAAGGTCAAACATCATTTTCTGTGAGTGATGGCATTAAAAATCGCATTCCACATGTGCAAAATATGCCTTGTTAGGCAAACATTTCTGATATTGATAGGTAAACTTTAACACTAATTTAAAGGGTTGGACTCAACCCAAGATTAAAAAAGGTAAAGGACCCCTGACAGTTAAGTCCAGTCATGGATGACTCTGGGGTTGCAGTGCTCATCTTGTTCTATAGGCCGAGGGAGCTGGCGTTTGTCTGTAGACAGTTTTTCCGGGTCATGTGGCCAGCATGACTAAGCCACTTCTGGCGAACCAGAGCAGCGCATGGAAAGGTCGTTTACCTTCCCCCTGGAGCCTATTTACCTATTTATCTACTTGCACTTTGACATGCTTTCAAACTACTATATTGGCAGGAGCAGGGACCGAGCAACAGGAGCTCATCCCGTCGCGGGGACTTGAAAAACCAGTCAGAAATCAGGTGCTAATACAGACTCAGTGTTGCACCGCAAAGAAGAAGAAGAAGAAGAAGAAGAAGAAGAAGAAGAAGAAGAAGGAGGAGAAGAGTTTGGATTTGATATCCTGCTTTATCACTACCTTAAGGAGTCTCAAAGCAGCTAACATTCTCCTTTCCCTTCCTCCCCCACAACAAACACTCTGTGAGGTGAGTGGGGCTGAGAGACTTCAAAGAAGTGTGACTAGCCCAAGGTCACCCAGCAGCTGCATGTGGAGGAGCAGAGACGCAGACCCGGTTCACCAGATTATGAGTCTACTGCTCTTAACCACTACACCACACTGCTGCTGTATATATGAGACCAGCTGAGATTTTTTGGGGGTTTGTGTGTGTGAATTATGGAACTATCCTGGGAAATATCATGAATCCATTCATTCAGAGTGAAAGAGCAACAAGAGATGCTTACTCCACAATGTGACGATTCTGATGCTTAGGAGCACTGAAGTTTAAATGGTCCTGGTGAATTTATTCTAAAGGCTGAGTAAGGAAGCACTAACACACTTGTGGCATTTCATACCCAAAGGTGGATTGTGTCATGGCTTACTTTGGGCTTTACTTGTGGCAGCAGAACTACTTTTTCTCATTTTAATTCTGTCTAGGACTTTGAGAGAGAAAGGAGAAAGCAATGAAAGAAAGGGAAGGTGAGAGGAGAGAATAAGAGATGATGAACAACAAAGAAGAGTAACTCTGGGAGGAGATGAGAAAAACGGGTATAGATGGGGGGGGGAATCGAAAATCTGCTGTAGACCAAGAAAATTTCAAAAACATTTATTTTGTAATGCACATTGCTTTCTATAGCTAAACAAAAATCATAGATTTTTCTGTTATTATGCTTTACCTGCAATGTACCTACAGGTATACATCTTGGGTAGTCCAACTTGCCCTCTCTACATTGGGCTCTGAAGGGAGGCGAGGATGGATCTTGCTGAAAGCCCCATTTGCAGGCAAACTCTGTCTCGTCTCCAGATGTGGAATAGATTTTCCGAGTGGATGTCCACTTCAGCCGTATATTGTTTTGATTCATATCTTCTTCAGTTGCTGTACAAGGAACTGTAGAAAGGCACAAATCATGTCATCTAAGAGATTAATTTGACAACGAGGAATTCACTTGACCAAAACGAGAAACGAAAACCAACCCTGTGGATTGTGTCCAAAGTTAGTCATACTAAGTCAAACCCACTGAAATAAATTGAGATTGATAATGTGGTCCCATCAGTGGGTCTCCTCTGAGGAAAAATAAGTAAAGCTTCTGTCAAGTGAATAAATAAATAAATAAATAAATAGCAATTTGAATATTTTCCCCATTAAAACCAATTGGGAGTCACAAGCTTTAGATTTTCTGAGTTGAGATTCAGCCAATGTGAAGAAACCATCAGTAGCAGTCCACATTTAATTGGGTGCTTTCTGAATTGGGGTCTGATACCAATATTATTATATATTATATAGCAGTATGTGGCTGTTGTCATGATAGAAGAAGAAGAAGAGTTTGGATTTGATATCCCGCTTTATCACTACCCAAAGAAGTCTCAAAGCGGCTAACATTCTCCTTTCCCTTCCTCCCCCACAGCAAACACTCTGTGAGGTGAGTGGGGCTGAGAGATTTCAGAGAAGTGTGACTAGCCCAAGGTCACCCAGCAGCTGCATGTGGAGGAGCGGAGATATGAACCCGGTTCCCTAGACTAGGAGACTACCGCTCTTAACCACTACACCACACTGGCTCTTAACCACTACACCACACTGGTAGCTATGAGGTCCTTGACTCAGTCCAGAATATGCAGCCTCAGCATGTAAATGAAGTGTCCAAGCACAAATATTGCAAGGGCTGTCACATGGGAGAGGGAACAAGCTAGTTTTTTCCTGCTCTGGCTCAAACCAATGGCTTCAAGTTACAAGAAAGGAGATTCTAACTAAACACCAGAAAAACTTTCTGACAGTAAGAGCTGTTCCACCTCCCTCGGGAGGTTGTGGACTCTGCTTCCTTGAGGTTTTGAAGCAGAGGTTGGATAGCCATCTGCCATGGATGCTGAGATTCCTGCATTGCAGGGGCTTAGACTGGATGACCCTTGGGGTCCCTTTCAACTCTACGATTCTATGAAGTGCTTGGGGATTCTCCAGTACAACTCCCCAGATCATCTCCACTAGCTTAAACAGAGAGGCTGGTGAACATCAGATCGAACAGTACATCAACAGGATCCCTGTTTTGTGTCTCTGGCCCAACAGCAGGAACAACTCAACCCTGGCTCCCAGGTGGATTGGCTTCCTGGTGAGGAAGATAGCAGGTCAGCCCCCTCATCCATGATCAAGTCATGGAGGAACGTTTTATTGTGGCCTATCAGGGTATTCAGTAACAGCAGAACAAGATGTGAGGGTTGCCTGTAATGACAGCCCAAATTTTGTCAGAAGATGCAACAACCGTAAGATATCTCCTGTCCCTTTGCCTTATCTGGAGTAAAGAACAATATGGTCTCCACAAGTGGTTATTGTTAATGTTCTTCTTAAACTATTGTTTTTTGTCCAAAACATTACAACGTGAAGTTTGAAGGCTCATTATAGATGTGATTAACCTTAAGGCCCATCTAATAGTTTGTTGATGCAGCTGTTTGCAGGAAGAGGCACTGAGGGGAATTTGAATTCACTGCTGCAAGGAAAGTGGAAAGTCAGTGTCTGAGAGGAAAACCTTGCAAAGGGAACGACCCACATGGCTGCCTATTATCAGTAAAGGCATCCAAAGTTTGGTGGGTGGCTCACTTTGCTTCATGAGAGAACTACCTGTAGTTTGTGGGAGGAGCTGGGATGGAGGGTAACTAAAAGCAAAAACACAGATAGAACAATGCCAACTGCTGACACCACACTGGTGCCACTAGGTCACAAGTTTTTGAATTTATTGAATATCCTTCAATAGAATAGAAAAAGCAAAGATTTAGAGAAATTTCCTGTACCTGTGCATGTTGGTGTATCTGTCCAGTGCCCATCGACACAGTGTACATATTGATTTCCTTGTAGTTCGTGGAAAGCTTGGCACTTATACTGTACATATGCCCCTGGCATATATTCCGAAGTTGCCGTACCCAGAAAGTCTCCATTTTCAATAGGAGGTGGAGGACCACATTTTCCCGCAGCATCTGTGGTGATGCATTGAAACAGAAAAAGGAATCTATTACATGGCACTTATTAGGATTACACATATGGCTGTGCACACAAGCATTTCTATAATTCAGCTTCTACATCAGGAAAAAAGAAAAGTATCATGCAAAGATTTAATTTAAAAAGGAAGAAAAGTTTTAATATATGTTTTATTGAGCTATGTATATCTGCTGGGTGAAATAATCAGTGAACAAATTGTCTTTCTAATGTCTCTTCAAGTGTGGCTGACATTCTATCAGCACCTCCTTAGTTGGTCAAATAGACCAATCATTAAAACAACTAGAACCTATTTTGACATGGATGGGATCTCATTGGGGGGAGGAGCCGGCTGTCCTCTGAATTTTGCTCAGCTCTTCACTATCAAAATTTATCATATTCTGCTGTTTTTGAAAATCTCTTTCGGTGTCTTGCAAGTGTCTATTTGTAAAAAATGATTCTGCAGAAGCATAAAAGGTAAAGGTAAAGGGACCCCTGACCATTAGGTCCAGTCGTGACTGACTCTGGGGTTGCGGCGCTCATCTTGCTTTATTGGCTGAGGGAGCCGGCGTACAGCTTCCGGGTCATGTGGCCAGCATGACTAAGCCGCTTCTGGTGAACCAGAGCAGCGCACGGAAACGCCGTTTACCTTCCCACCAGAGCGGTACCTGTTTATCTACTTGCACTTTGACATGCTTTCGAACTGCTAGGTTGGCAGGAGCAGGGATCGAGCAATGGGAGCTCACCCCGTTGCGAGGATTCAAACCACCGACCTTCTGATCAGCAAGTCCTAGGCTCTGTGGTTTAACCCACAGCACCACCCGTGTCCCCTGCAGAAGCATAGAAGTTTATAAAATGCTGGTGCCTGAATATCTTGTGCTTCCATAAACACCTCTGTTAGTTTTTTTCCTTTCTGCCTGTGATGTCTGGAATTCCTGCCCCAAACATGCAACTTGGGGGTAGCGAGTGTGATGCTATCTAGATATTGCTGGACTACAACTCCAGTCAGTCCCAGAATGGCGAATGGTCAGGGGAGTTGCAGTCCATCAACATCTTGAAGCACTAAGTTTGCTGCAGTTGAATGGGGGTCATTCCACTGGTTCTAAAACCGCCTTTGCCATGAAGTGTTTGGCTTTCTGCTTAGCAATGTCTGAAGTGGGATGGGATGAGGCAGGGTGCACCCCATCAATTTGGGCAGACATATTTGAATATGACCTATTCACCTCTCTCTTTCTTGCCTTGTCGCCGTCCAGATTTTGTCCTCCATGTGGGTTTTCCAAAGCCATCCTGTTAGGTACTGTGCAAAGCACAGTAGATGAACCTTTAGTCTCATCCAGTATTGTGTTTATGTTCCTACCTCTCCAGTCTACTAAAGTTCAGTTTGTAAGCTCTTTCAGGAACGGACCTGTTCTTATTTTTCTGCATGGTCTCCCCTCCACCCCCACTCTTATGCTTTAAAGCACCTTATGCATTGATGGTGTAAAAAACCATAATGTTATTCTTACTTATGAGGTTATAAGCGTTAGCCAAATGATGGAACGAATGTCTAAATGATCCACAACACATATAACAACACAACCCTCACCACCTCAAATGGCATACTTCAAGGTACACAGGCAGCTCCCAGTCATCTAGAGCTGAGTAATCCAGCTGAACAATTGACTCAACAATTTCCTAGAGAACAAGAGGGCACGTGTGTGTCTTGAGAATGCATCAAGTACTATAAATTCCACTTGAATTTATTATAGAAAGGCTGAGATATCTCAGTTCTTCTGTACTTATTACAGTTCAAGGGACAATGGCTACTAGTGCTGGAAAAGACAAAAATACTTCTAGTCTATTCTTTGCTATGAATCACAGTCATCTGGGAGGGAGACTGGAATCAGATTGGCATAGACAGTCTAGATCAACATGTGCCACAAACAGATGATTACATCGCAAATAGCTCAAATTGATTTAAATAAGCATCGCAAGCCACCTTGTGCTGTAGAAGACCAATTTGGTCTGCATGGATTTCTTCCCAATCACAATCGTGATGATTGGTCAATGAAGGAAAACTACCACCTCCAACTACTGAGTAATCCCATAGGAATCTCCATCAGGCCTGTTCTAGATGAAGCTTGTTGGTTTTCCCATAGTAAACACTTCAGTCTTGACTTCCTCTGGTATATTCCTCATAGCCCAGAGATTAGCAGAAGGTAAATAATAAATGACAGTCCAAGACTATGCAAGAATCCGCACAGTGCAAAATTTAACATACAACTTTATTTTTTTAAAAGGAAGAATGTTATATTCCTCTCTTTTAGACTATTTAAAAATTGGACATCAAATACCTATGCATCTTGGTGATGCTGACCATTCTTTGTTCACACACTTTACTGTAAAAGCTCCAAAAAGGCTGAATCCTTGGCGACAGCGATAGCGGACCTTCTCAAGAGGCAAGTACCTTTGCTTGAGATCAGTCGTAATCTGACCATTAGAAACCCGGGGTGGGGGAGGGCATGTTACATCTGAAATGATAGAGAAAGCTTCTTCAATCCTTGAAAATGCATTCTGTTCCCACAAAACAACACCTACCAGTTTGTTCCAACATTCTGAGACTGGACAAAATATGTCATAAGAGAGGATACTGTCCTAACTGTGAGAATTGCTGGTCTCCAACCCCCATCGAGGGTATAGGCTCCTATCTACTCCTATCTACCATAAACACATAGACTTAGGAAAGAGCCCTGTTCGACTCAGAATAAACTTGCACTGGAGGAAGCTGAGAAAAGAGCACATGCTTGCGGGGTTGCAACCTCAAGCCACGAGCCTGCTATTTGCAACCCCAGTGCTGTCATTCTTAGTTATAAAAGTTAGAGGTCAAAAGTGTTTGCTTTTTGTTATGTATTCAGTGGTCTGTGTTTGCCTGAGTTTGAGTCTGGACTAAGAATTCTGAGCCCCTATGTTCTGATTCGATACATTATATCCAATCACAGAACATTTCAGGATTTGGGCCTCTGCCATTGGCCCTTAAACTTCGAGTCATAATTCACAGCTTGGAAGTTTAGGCAGCCAATCACGTTGGGAGTGGGAGTGGCCCAGGCCTTCAGAAATGTACATAAGCAGTTCCTTTGCCCCTGTTGTCCAGTTCTGTTAGTTCAATAAAGGTTCTTGTTGTTATCACTGTGTCTTGCCTTGTGGAAAACCACCTGCACTACACTTTTGTAAATGAGTCCAGGAAGAAAAGTCCCTGAAAATGGCAGCTGTATTGGGTCATTTAAGGGTAAGTCAAGGTGCATATGGCAACTCTTCTTCCCTGCTGCCTGGAACACAAAAAGCACTGAGGTCCACCTAGATCAATTTTATCTGTGTCAGGGATCCTGTGGCCCTCCAGATGTTGTTGGACTACATCCCCCATCATCCCCAGCCAGCAAGGTTGATGGTCAGAGATGATGGGAAGTGCAACAACATCTGGGGGGCCACAGGTTCCCCATCCCTGGTCCATATGGACTGGTAGAGGCTCTCCAGGAGGTCAGGCAGGGGTTTGTCCTAGGCTCCACCTGGAGATGCCAGGGACTGAACGTGGCGCATTGCGCATACAAAACCTGTCTTCGATCCCTGCTAGTACATTGCAATATTGAAATTCTCCTATACAATTCAAGTCTTCTTTGAGCCCAAAATGCACAGTATGAGAGGCAGTTTCCATGCTCTATTGCTGCCCTTCCCCATCTGAGGCTGACTGGAAAGAGGCATGTCTTAACACTGGGATACCATTCTATCATGCAGTATTTTCCACTGCAGAGGCAAAATTGCCAGCTTTCAGAGGAGGGCACACGGAAAACAGGGACTCACACAGGTGGATAATTCTCCTTGTTAGGACTTTAAAAATAAACTTCTTTGGCTGTAACAGTAAAGCACGCCTCCAGTTTTAAGTCAGAAATAAAATATCTGCCTTGGCCATCAGACATTTTGTAATCTCTTCCCAGTTTCTTCCACATCCTTTTTCACGTTTATATTTGGCACACAGAAGGAAGATCAGGAACCCAGTATACCTGAAGGAGAGTCTCCACACCCATCGTTCTGCTCGGACACTGAGGTCCAGCTCCGAGGGCCTGGTGGCAATTCCCTCACTGCGAGATGTGAGGTTACAGGGAACCAGGCAGAAGGCCTTCTCGGTAGTGGCGCCCGCCCTGTGGAATGCCCTCCCATCAGATGTCAAGGAAATAAACAGCTATCTGACTTTTAGAAGACATCTGAAGACAGCCCTGTTTAGGGAAGTTTTTAAGGATTGATGCTTTTATTTTGTTTTTAGATATCTTGTAAGCCACCCAGAGTAGCTGGGGAAATCCAGCCAGATAGGTGAGGTATAAATAATAAAAAATATCATCATCATCACCTGCAATGCCAGGTCTTACCTACACATGTCGGTGGATCTGACCACTCCTTATTTTGACATGTTACATTAGGCGATCCAGAGATTTCAAAACCTTCATGGCACTGATAATGCACCTCGTGGTCAGGCAGATAGATCTCTGCTGTCCCCGCCACAATGTCAGCACTGGCAACTGCAGGCGGCTCTCCGCAGGTTGCATCTAAATGGGGAGAGGAAACCAACAAATAAACTTTTCCTCCACAAATTGTGCTTTCTGCATAATAGATACCCATCATTCTTTTTTTAAAAAAAGAATACCAGAACCTAATGTGAACAAACACAAAGATAAGAGTGCAAGAGCTTAATGCAAGCAAACCTTGCTTACAGACAGAGTCACCAACTTCTCAAAAACATTGCAGGGGCCCCATGGAACGCCCTGTTGTCACATGTGCAACATCACACAGAGCTGGGCGGTGGAGCCAAATGCGGCTGCAGCGTGGCCCCAGCAGCAGGTGGACCCAATCCTCCCCAGCCGGCTGCTGTGCAAGGGAAAGAGGTAAAGGGACCCCTGACTGTTAGGTCCAGTCGCAGATGACTCTGGGGTTGCGGCGCTCATCTTGCTTTATTGGCCGAGGGAGCCGGCGTACAGCTTTCGGGTCATGTGGCCAGCATGACTAAGCTGCTTCTTGCGAACCAGAGCAGTGCACAGAAATGCCGTTTACCTTCCCGCCGGAGTGGTACCTATTTATCTACTTGCACTTTTTGGCGTGCTTTCGAACTGCTAGGTTGGCAGGAGCAGGGACCGAGCAACAGGAGCTCACCCCATCGCGGGGATTCGAACCGCCAACCTTCCAATCAGCAAGCCCTAGGCTCAGTGGTTTAATCCACAGCGCCACCCGCGTCCCTGTGCAAGGGAAAGAAGTCACCCCCAAATGTCTCGGCCCCTAGGAGATGGTGCCTATGTTTACAGATCATGGTTAAGGAGGACCAAGCTTAACTGCAATCCTGCTGTCCAATGCCTAACTAAAGCCAAACATTGGTTTAACTACCACACCTGCATGCAAAGACCAAGAGTGGGTCCAACAGTTAAGAAGGCAGTTTCTACAAATGCTGTGAGGGGCAGATGGGGCTCACCAACTAGGTAGCCGATCTAGGAGAACGAAAGCTCTGATCCTGAATCTTCACTGCCTTGAGGGATATCTTTAGGAGAAGGAAAGTAAACCCTACACAAATCCAGAGCAGAGTCCCTAAAACAGTTGGATGGCACCTTGTACACCTCATTCCAGCAACTGCTACAGCCAAGCTGGTGCCAAATGTATTGCACTGCTTTCCTTTGAACCACATCAGCAAAGCTGAGAGGGGGGTCTTCTTGTCTGGGCAGCCCAGGAAAAATGAGAAGCTGGAAGAACTGAAATTGACAGATCCATCCATACCTCAGACAGTTATTTTAACCCAAGGCCATTTAGTTTAAGTACAATGGTACCTCAGGTTACATACGCTTCAGATTACAGACTCCGCTAACCTGGAAATAGTGCTTCAGGTTAAGAACTTTGCTTCAGGATGAGAACAGAAATTGTGCTCTGGCGGCGCCCCGGCGGCAGGAGGCCCCATTAGCTAAAGTGGTGCTTCAGGTTAAGAACAGTTTCAGATTAAGTACAGACCTCCGGAACGAATTAAGTACTTAACCTGAGGTACCACTGTAGTTCTAAGATACTTGACTTGTTCTGCTATAATATAGGCCAAGTTAAGCTCTATGTCGCATAGATTTCAGTGGGAAGAATAACTACATTGAATAATTTGGCTGGATGTTGCCACTGCCCTTTAATTGAATTGTATTAGGCAATATCATTTATTCAGGGCAGAGTTTAAATTTGACAAAGGGACATCTACAATTATGACGGCAGCAGAACCTGGGATTCAGCACTAAATTCCTAAATATAACCATCAGAAAACCAATTTACAATGTGTATCACTTAGTTTACATCAGGGGTGGGGAAGTTGAAGCCTGGGGACAGGATTTAAATGCAGCCAGCCTCTGAGGCCCTACAATCTAATGGTGGGGCAAAAATGCCCCACTCCACAAAAAAGAATAAATGTTGTCCCCAACCACCCATTCCATTCATCCAAACATACCAAGTTCTAAAGAAGCATGCATTCCATTCATCCACACTTGCAATGTCATGATCCCCACTTCCCAATTCCTTCATAAAACAAATTGGAAATTAATATTGGCAGAGCAGGGATCTACATTCCTCTCTGCAATGCTTTTGAGACTGGAGATGGGAGATGGAGGAGGAGTCAGGAGGTTGCCCTCTGGGGAATGATGGAAGGTTGGAGTAATCACTGCTGTTTGCCTTCTCTGTTTGTGAGGCATGGGAGGGAAGCAAAGAAGGAGCTGTTGCTCCCACCATCACTTGCAACAGTGTTCACACCACCAGAGAGGATTTGCCAGAATGAATCTTGCCAAGGAACTAGTGCTGGCAGTAAGAGCCTTCATCCAAAAACTTACTGTTTTCAGTTTTTTAACGTTGTATAGATTTCCCAGCAAGATTCCAACCCGAAAAGAGGTTATGTGTGTGCTATGGGCCCACTTCTTCCTGGGTTGATAAGAGAGGTACAGTACGATGGGACACACTGCTTGCAGGGACTACTCAGGTGCTGATACAATAAAAGGGTACCCTAGGGGAGCAGGAAGGCTGCACTAGAAAGACCCGTGATGTTGATCAGAAGCTCTCTTTTCTCCAAGCGTAGGAGTGGCTGACCACTTCTCTGATTTGTCAGAGAACATTCTGCATCTAGTAGCATTCACATAAATCGGAAGCTGTCTTTTCTCACAAACACCCATTCATTGCTGAATCGGAGCAAACAGCAATCCACAGAAAAGCTCTCAGATATGGAGCTTTAAAGCTTGGAGCTCTGCCTAGAAAGTGCAGCATGAAAGGTCAGTGTGGGTGAGCCCAGATTATTGCCTGATCAAGCACACTACAGTGGTACCTTGATTTAAGAACAGCTTAGTTTATGAACAAATGGGAAATAGAACGCTGCAAACCCGGAAGTAGGTGTTTTGGTTTATGAACTTTGCCTTGGAAGCGGAACATGTTCCGCTTCCTGTTGAGTGTGTTCTGTTTGTAAATTGAAGTCCCCCACTGCTAATCAGAGGCTTCCTGTTGAGTCCCCAGCACCCACACAATACAGAGGTGACATTTGGAGCTTTTATTTTTGCTATATTTTTGCGTTTTTGTTTGTGTGGCTTTCACATTTTTTTGACTGTGACTTGTTCTTCGTTTTACGGGACCGACTTGTGACTGTGGCTTGTGCCTTCGTTTTTGTGACTGTATGGAACCCAGTACAGCTACTGGTTGATTGTGTGACTGCAGAAATGGATAAAAGCCCCCCATCCAAAAAATGACTATCATCAGTGTACATAAGGAAAAAATTTCAATTTTTTTTATCAACTACAATACTGTCTTATTTATTTTATAGTACAGTACATTGATTATTGCCTTCATTTTATGGATCAATGGTCTCGTTAGATAGTAAAATTCATGTTAAATTCTTGTTTAGGGGTTGTTTTTCATCGTCTGGAACGAATTAATCCATTTTCCATTACATTCTATGGGAAAGCACACCTTGGTTTAAGAACACTTTGGTTTAAGAACGGACTTCCAGAACGGATTAAGTTCGTAAACCGATGTAGCACTGTATTGCCATTGCTGATCAGCAGAACTCTCCAAGGTATCACCAGAGTTCATTCCAAGCCTTTCTACCCCAGATCATTTTAACTGGAGATGTAAAGGATTTAAGCAGAATCACATTTGTGAGCCTAAACATCTACAGAGATGTACTTGCTTGCTCACTATGCCCCTTGCTGTTCAAACCAGTGGTTGAATCGCTCTGTTCCCAGAAGTAAACTACCTTTAGAACGGTTATCCAGGCAAAACATGCAACATACCTTCACAGGTTGAAGCTTCCGACCACTTTCCTTTGTGGCATGTAATATTCCGTGGTCCTTCTGTAGCATAACCTGGCGCACATTTGAAAGGTATCAGGTCCCCAGGCTCATAGTGATTTTTTATTAAACCTTCATATGCTGCATCAGTGAGTCTGGGAGGCTCCCCACATGACTTTTCTGAGAAGATAATACAAATGAAAATATGATTCTCAAAACATGTCACCATACCTGTGTCTGGATTTCCCTACTAAAATGCTGAACAAAGCTGCATTTCAAAGGCTGAAGGGAGTTGTGTGTTGTTGGTTGTTTCCCTCCCCAAGAGTGAAATATGAAGGCAGAGGGATCAGTAATCAGAGAAGTTCACAATGGGTTAAATGCTGAAGAACATAAATATTACTGGGAAATAAAACAGATGGTTTAGTAATTTAATATGTCTGCTATGGCCAATCCACAGAATTTAGATACATGTTTAAGTCTGGCCAGGTCCTTAGTCCAGTGGTTTTCAAACTTTTATACCAGCTTCCTAATTGCCTGCTCTCACGTTTCAATTTGACTCCCAAAGAAATCCTAAATATTGCAGGATTCTGGAGTCACAACCTAAAGCACATTCTTAGTTTAAGCAGGGCAGTGGCTATATCCAGTGCTTTTTTCCTGGGGGTACGCATACTCCTAAACATTTTGTGAATCTTTGTACTTTTGTCCATTTACTGTATTTATTTTCCCCAATCTGAACTATAAAATGGTGATTTTCTTGAGTCAAAATGAGAGTGCCCCTAAACATTATCTTAGAAAATAAGCACTGGCTATACCTGTTGGTTTCTGCCACTGCCCCACATAATCTTACAGTGGAGCCCATAATACACATTATGCCTTTTGCTGCTGTGCATTGCAGGGGAAAACCAGTAAATGTGGATCAGGTTCTGTCGATCAAGTTTTCTTTCACAGAAGCTTGTCTGTTCTGACTAGGGATGGTAAGCCAGTAAACCAGCTTCTCACTGAGAAGCCCCTGAAAAGTTTCTGAGACATTCAAGTGCTGCCCCAAACCAAAAGCAAGGCCATGGCTGAAATATTAAAGCAACAAAATGTTAGACTGCAAGTTGAATTACCCTCAATTCTGCAAGAGGGAGAATATTTCAAAACTCTGAATGTTTGCTGGTTGGCAGGACACTTCAAGTGAGGCAGTGTCACAATTTCTATAGGTTTGTGTCAAAGATGAGTTGTGAATGCTAGCAGAGATAAGAGTCCGGGAATCCAGCCATATTTACAGAGATTTATTGGTTGCTTCAAAGTATTTACAAGAGTTCAAAAGAACGACACCATCACAATCAGCCAGTTGCCGTGAATGGCTCTTTCCGCTTTCCCCCCCAGCAGATCCACCTCCTAAGCCTAGCCCCCCTTCTTCCTCTGCTCTGAGAGTGGCTGGATCCCAGAAATGGCTCCCCCCTCAGTTTCATTGTCTCCCGACAGCCCTTTGTCTCCTTCCTCGTCCAAAGAGGAGCAACTGCTAATTAAAGGCACAGGATCTCTGTAAGTGCCCATTCTCTCCCCCTTCTCCTCCTTCTCTGCCTCCAATTCCCTGACAGTTTGGCAAAATGTCTTCCATGCATACTCTTGATGGAATAAGACTGAAGTCTCATTGAAAGCTCTGCATTGGATATATAGTTACCCCTCCACTTTTGAATGGAAGCTGAGGTCCAGCTCAGAGAGTCTAGGAAATAAACAACTATCTGACTTTTAGAAGACATCTGAAGGCAGCTCTGTTTAGGGAAGTTTTTAATGTTTGATGTTTTATTGTGTTTTTAATATTCCGTTGAGTGCCGCCCAGAGTGGCTGGGGAAACACAGCCAGATGGGTGGAGTGTAAATAATAAATCATTATTATATCATAAGCATATTTTCTTACCTCTGCAAGTTGGTGGTGGGGACCACTCCCTATTTTCGCATGTTGAAGTACTTGATTCCCCAAGTTCAAAACCTTCATGGCAATGATATTCCACACTTTCACCAGAAAGATACTTTCTCTGGGAACTATTATTTACCTCACCATGGGCAATTGCAGGGGGGTCTCCACATCTTGTATCTGGAAAGGGAGTTATATAGCATGTGGCCTTCATGAATACAATTAAATGGCATAAAAACATTTCCAGAGTGTTTTATATGCAGAACTGCTCTCTCCTTTTTCATCTGGTAGAAAGTTTCAGAGGCAGCCAATTCAAAGTCGGTTTACAAAGAGAGGCAGGGAAGAAAGAAATTTGGAGGCTTATAGTATTGCTGTGATATCTGTTATTTTATTAATATGTGCACTGCAGATGGGAGAGTGGTTAAGGACCTAGACACCCTAAGTAGGTTTACCAAGAAGTTTTTTCCAGTTAAGTGAGTCAGTGGGGGGTTATTCTCATAAAAATGCGCTTAAGATTTCAGCTACACTTTCCATTCCGTAGTTCAGGGGTTGTCAACCTGGTCCCTACTGCCCACTAGTGGGCGTTTCAGGATTCTAGGTGGGCGGTAGGGGGTTCCATGGCACAAACTGAATCCTCCTCCCATTGAGCACTGGTGGGCGGTAAGGAAATTTTACCATCAGGAAAGATGCATTAGCGGGCGGTAGGTATAAAAAGGTTGACTACCCCTGCCTTAGTTAATTCAAACCACAGCAAGTCATAAGACTGCTTAGCTCAGTACCATGCATAGTATCTTTCATGGAATGCAGGATTTTATCTTCTCCTTTTATGCCCAATTATAGGTTGCCAATGAAATATGCAGGGTGCAATGCCATTGTCTTGAAAGTTGGAGAATGGAGGAGTTATTTGCAGCCAAGCGGTCTCCTTCAGGCATTCAAGTTCTGTATGTAATGAAGGCATGTGTAAGGAGGAGGATGGCAACTCCCTCCTTCCTCTATGCATGTTCACAGAATGCCTGAACAGAGTTTGTCTGCCCGAAACGGCTTCAGCCCAGTATACCTGAAGGAGTGTCTCCACCCAACTGAGGTCCTCCTCCAAGGGCCTTCTGGCGGTTCTCTCACTGCGAGAAGTGAGATTACAGGGAACCAGGCAGAGGGCCTTCTCGGTAGTGGCATCCATGCTATGGAAGGCGCTCCCATCAGATGTCAAGGAAATAAACAGCTATCTGACTTTTAGAAGACATCTGAAGGCAGCCCTGTTTAGGGAAGTTTTTAATGTTTGATAATTTATCGTGTTTTCAATATTCTCTTGGATGTTGCCTAGAGTGGCTAGGGAAACCCAGCCAGATGGGCATGGTAAAAACAAGAAATTTATTTATTTATTTATTTATTTATTATTCTGCCTGGGTATGCAAAGAAGAGTGGGATATACAGTCAATCAATCAATCAGATCAGATCACATCATATATTTTGCTTCATCAGCTGTGTAGGGGACAACAGGGGAAGAGTGTAAGACACTTGGTTGCTGCTTATGGCATCAGCTGCCATTCGTGTTACATCTAATTTCTGCCATTCTATTGCAGCGGCTCCCAAACTTCTTGGAGAGAAATTTATCATGGAGCACTATCTCCACCCTTATACCAAACAAACATATTTATTTATTTTCCTTTCCAATCTCTTCCCAGAGCACTTGGATGCTTTGTGAAGCACCGAATGCTCCATGGAGCACAGTTTGGGAACCACTGATCTATTGAATAAGCATCTTTATTACCTCACAAGTGCATTACTATTTATAAAAAAAGGTAAAGGACCCCTAGATGGGTTGCGGCGCTCATCTCGCTTTCAGGCCAAGGGAGCCAGTGTTTGTCCACAGACAGCTTTCCGAGTCATGTGGCCAGCATGATTAAACCACTTCTGGCACAATGGAACACCGTGACAGAAACCAGAGTGCACGGAAACGCCGTTTACCTTCCCGCCACAGCAGTACCTATTTATCTACTTGCAGTGGTGTGCTTTTGAACTGCTAGGTTGGCAGGAACTGGGCAGAGCAAGCGGAGCTCACCCCATTGCAGCGAGCCCAAGAGGCTCAGTGGTTTAGACCACAGCAGCAGCCACATCCCTGGTTTGAATTCCCATTATTAAATAAGAACATTGGAAGAGCCTGATGGGTCAGGTCAATGGCCCTTCTAGGCCAGCGTTCTGTTCCTCAAGTGGGCAGCCAAATGTCTGTTGGAGACCTACAATCCTGATCTGAGCATAAGAGCAGTCTCCCTTCCTGTGATTTGCAGCAACTGGTATATGCAAAGCATAGGCATCAATGGCCTTCTCCATGAATTTCTCCAGTCCTCTTTTCAAGCCATCTAACTTGGTGGCTATCACTGTCTTCTGTATGAGTAGGTTCCAAAGTTTAACTGTGTCCTTAGAATAATTTTTTAGGCCACATTGTCATTTATATTTTCTAGTTTCTTTTTGTTTTTTTTTAAAAATTATGCTTCTTTAGTTTATAAATCACACACCACCACCCTCAATTCTCTGACTTCTTGAAAACAAAAAAGGGAAATATGAAAGGAAGATCATACTAACCTAAACAGCGCGGTGGGGTTTGCCACTTTCCATTGTCACATTTTATTTTTTGTGGCCCTTGAAGAAAGAAGTTTTCCTGACATCTGAAGCTTATCTCCTCACCACTCTTATAGTTTCTCGTATCAGTTATGTCAATGGCATTGGGAAGCTGAGGTGGTGGTGGACAGAATGCTTTAATAAATAAACAAAAGTCCATTAGAATTCAATGATATAAAGTTATGCAAGGAAACGATGAAAGAGAAGAGCATTTAAGAATCTATGAAAAGTGAGCATCTAGTCAAACCTCCTTATCCCTTGAATGGATTCAATGTTGCAATGAGTTAGTTGCATTGGTCTTGAACCAAAGAGCTGCCTGGTAAAACCTGCAAGAGAAGCAGAACTTCTCCAGTTTAGTTCCAGTGAGACCCCCATGTTGCCTCATCATGCTCTTCAAAACTCAGTGCAGGTGAGGTGTCTGTCTACAGAAGTGTGGAGAGTTGCTGCCGCTCCTGAAATTTATATTTGCATGCTACCCTTCCTCTATTGCAGTGTTTTAACCTGCGTATGGTTCAGTTCAGCTTTGCATGCTTCTTGTGGTGCATGAGATCATACCAAAAAGGTTCTTGCTGGCAACCTAAATCTGACATGTGAACTCAACCCAGATTTTACTATTATAAAGCTACCGGAAGGTCACTGTTGAGAAAGTAGCAAGATATGCCACTCAATCCAGTTTTATGTGTTTCTGAATCCTGGGCACCACAGTTGAGTTGACCTCCAGGGATGGTGCTCTCAGACAGGGATGCAGATGGGAAAATGCACTCTGTGCCTCTGTTTGCAAGAACCAACAGCCTGTAGTGACTGCTTTGCAAGCTGCTAATTCTGTCCTTGGGTCGATTGATTGGCTTTCCCATGTGGCAGCAATGCTTCTGCTCCTGAAGTGGATAAAGTAATATCCTGATCTCACACCAGCCGAGTACATAAGGCATGCAGAATTCATGCAATCTTAAAGGAAGCTTTATGTGATCTTTCCAAAGGAGCTGAGTCTAGCCTACCCAGGAAGGCACTCCTGAACAGGTCTGTCCCACTCTTGCTTCCAGTGGCCACATCTGTCACTCAAGTTGAGAAACCATGCATTTGTATATAGCATGCAAAACTGTACCTGTGCATTCTGGCTCAGGTGACCATTTTCCATTAACACATTTTGTTTTATGTTGATTGGAACCACAGATGTAGGTTACAACGTTGTTGTGCATAAACGTTTTCTCCAGAGAAGCAAATGGTACAAACTCTGCATTCTGTGGACGTGTACACTTTGCTGCAACATCTAACAATTCAAATATTGTTCAAGTAAAGTTGTTTGTTAGCAAATCACAATCAAATGGAGTTAATCAACTAGAAAATCTCACTGGTATTTTTCATGCACATCTATTTTCCAATACGCCTTTCAGTCTTCATTGCAGTCAATCCTTGCAGCAGTTTTGGAGGAGAAACCATAATTATTGCCATTTTTTATAGGGCAGCAGAGGTGAAGAAGTAGTAACAGACTTGATTAAGACCACAAAGTATGTCTGTGGCAGAAGTCTCCTGGCACTAGGTCTAATTTCCCGTCCAATGGATCACAAGCATATAATTGCTTATGTTAATAAATGGCAATTAAATATGAAAAGTGTCTATATAAATATGAGTTGCATTTATTTGTAATTTGTAATTTGCTTGACACTCAGCTCAATTTCTCCTTTACATCTCCAGGTGAGGCAGTGGAAGTGTTGGACCAGTGCCTTGCCTTGGTAATGGACTGTATGAGAACCAACAAACTGAAGCTCAATCCAGATAAGACTGAGCTACTGTTAGTGGGTGGTTTCCTAGACCAGATAGGTGGGAGGTTGCCTGCTCTTGATGGGGTTACACTTCCTCTGAAGGAGCAGGTTCGTAGCTTGGGGGTATTCCTGGATCCTTTGCTGTCGCTCGAGGCTCAGGTAGCCCAGAGTGCCTTCCATCAGCTTCGGCTGGTGGCCCAGCTACTCCCCTATCTGGACAGGGATAGCCTAACTACTCTTGTTTATGCTCTGGTAACCTCAAGGTTAGATTACGGCAATGCGTTATATGTAGGGCTGCCTCTGAAGACGGTTTGGAAACATCAGCTGGTGCAGAATTCAGTGGCCAGGCTGGAGCAAGGCTGTTTGAGCATATTACACTGATCCTGGTCCAACTGCACTAGCTACCAATTAGTTTCCGGGCTCGATTCAAAGTGCTGGTTTTGACCTATAAAGCCTTAAACTGCTCAGGACCACAACACCTCAAGGACCGCCTCTTTCCCTATGAACCTACCCATACCCTGAGATCATCTTCTGAGGCCCTCCTTCATGTGCCTCCTCCTCAAGAGGTCCAGAGGGTGACAACACGACAATGGGCCTTCTCTGCAGTGGCTCCCTGTTTTTGGAATGCTCTCCCCAGGGAAGTTCGCCTGGCACCTTCATTAGACACTGTTAAGGCGCCAGGCAAAAACGTTCCTTTTTAACCAGGCCTTTGGTTGATTTGATTTACCCTTTTAAAATGTTTTTTTTGGGGGGGGAGGCTATTGGCTTGTTGTTTCTGTTTTTATTATGTATTTTGTGGTTTTATATCTTGATTTTATTCTGCGAACCGCCCTGAGACCCCTGGGTGTAGGGTGGTATATAAATTCAATAAACAATAATAATAGCTTACTGTCAGGGAACTGACATCGGAGCTAGAGGTGGAGGGGAGGCTCTCTAATGATGCTGGAGAAGGGCCCAGCAGGGAGAGACGCAGCTCAGCAGATGGGGAAGCAATTCAGTGCAACACCAGGAATAAGGAGGGGCAGATGGGGGAATTGGAGAGGGGGCTCCCAGACTCTTCACCGGACACCAGCGGGGAGAGCACTGGTCCTCCGCTCCACTCCCTGCACAGAAGACTTCCGCGCAGAGAAAGGAGGAGGAGACTGGGTGTCAAACAACTTTTATGTTGGAAAAGGTTTAAGAAACGCCCACTGACGGATTCTGCTAGCGACTGAGGCAGCCACGAATTGAAGGGCTGTCCAGACAGAAAGGTTTAACAAGGCAACATAGCCAGGAGAGGCGGCAACTTACGCACGAGCAACCCCATACCATTATACTTACCAACACATAATGGTAACTCCCACTGCCCATGCAGACACACAGCTTCTTTAGTTCCAACAATGTAAAATCTTTCATTACATTCATATGCCACAGTTTCGCCATGCAGATATCTATCTGAGTCAACACTGACAGGGCGTCCATTTCTAATATTTGGAGGTACTTCACAAGCTCTGGGTTCCTCTGTTGAAAACAGAAGGAAATGATGTGAAACAAAACATGAGTTCTTAATTTTCTTAAAACTATAATCTCAGTCCCAGTTGTTTTGGCTGCTCATTCTCTTCAGCCTCTCCTACACGCCAGATAAAAAATGCCAAGGGCAGCTCTTCATTTTTCAGCTCATCAGGATATATTGCAGAAGTAGAATGAAGAGGCAGACTTTGATATTATTATGGCTTGTATGATTTTAACTTCATTCTTAATAACTGAGCATTGATTTGTTGTTACTTTTCTCTGTTCAGTTTTGATCTTATTTCCAGTCCCAAGCATTGGAAACTTAAGACTGGAATTTAGAAATGTATTCTTTTATACCACATTTGGGAGCTTTAGTTTAAACATAGCATTTCAATGATAAAGCAAAGCATGAAGACACTTAAGATGGTCTGATTCTGCTTCAAATGGAGACATCAAATGTTACGCTCCACTTTCCCTTCAGCAGACCTTTTTCTTCTCCAGCTACTTGGGAAACTTCTGGGACAGAAAATTCCAGCATGTAAATAGAAAAGAAATCCTAGTGGAATATATGCGCATGGTGGACTTTGCTGAGTTAACAAAAACAGTTTTATCTGCTCATAGCATTTGCCCTGTGAACATGCCTAGTTGCACCTGTAATTTACCTTTGCAGAGTGGTAAAGATGTCCACTGTCCATCCAAACACTCAATCAACTTTGATCCAGTCACTGCAAATCCGAAATTACACTTGTATTCCACCTTTTCTCCATGTTCATATTTTTCCTTAAGGTCACCGCTAATACTGCCATCCGAAATGCTGGGGGGTGGCTGACAAGGATCGACTCGTGCTGGAAGTAAGAGAGCATCACTTCAGTCTTGTATCTGTTGACTCAAAATAAGTCTAGACAGCACATCCTTCCACATAGAATTTTCACAATTATGAAATGATGTTGGATGCGCTGAGTTCCAGCCAGTTGTGTGGAATGGATGGTGTCATTGATGTGGGAAAGACTCAAATGATCAGCACTACTTATGTAGCTCCTAGTTTCACCCATTACCAACAACTGCGTAGAGGAAGCCAGGGGGAAATGGTTGCCATGTTGCTGAACCCCCCGCCCCGGCTACAAATAGGTAGGGATGCTCACACAGGGCCATTCTGGGGTTACTCCTGCTTTACATAATTTTGCTTATACACATGGTAGCAAGGAATGTAACCCCTGCATATGATGAAATTTACCTGTATCAAATGGGACTATATAATGGGGTATATTGCATGTATAACATACCATATTTTCCCATACAATTTTGTGTTTCATTTCAGGCATTTTCTTTCTCTTTCAAAACTCAGCAACGCAGAGACAGCTTGGACATAACTGGCTGGTCGATGCAATAGGCAGTGCAATGTGAGCAAATCTCAATCAGGTTGGAACCAGCAAATTCCCTACATAAATCTGTTTAAAACAGATTCTTCCTCCATTGCTATACATGGAGCTGCCTTTATTGATATGTAATCCAAACTCCAGCAGCTAATTTGCTCACCCCATTGTGCGGATTTGAACCCCCGACCTTCCAATTAGCAAGCCCAAGAGGCTTAGTGGTTGAGACCACAGTGCCATTGGCGTCACCTCCTTTCCATATTCCATTGACCACACAAGACTAAACAAAAAATATATATCTATCCACTAGCCAGTGAAATCTTCCCCAGTAAGGCTTGGGAGAAACATTAGAAAAGGCTGCCAGGAAATTTTTACGAGTAACAAGCACACTGATATTTACTTTTTGTATAAGCTATGAAAAAAAATTGCATACCTTTACACGTTGGGGGCTGTGGAGACCATCCAAAATGATAACACTGGGCAGAGTCAGGCCCAACTCTTTTGTAGGTTCCGCGGCAGGAAAATTTCACCACGTCTCTGTGCTGATATTGGTTTTTTCTAGGGTCAAGTTGCCCTTTCTCCAGAAGGAAACCATCACAATGTATTGCTAAAGGAAATGTTGAGCGAAGCAGATTGAATATAATTAAGTGCATTTCAAAACAAACATGCCTGAAATTAACCTGCTGGGCAAAACATTTGCAAATGTTCATCAAACTTATTGCAGGCTTGCATAACCTCTGACCCCCTGGGAGTGGAGACCAGTGGCGTGGTGTGGGGGGGTGCAGGGGGGGCCAGCCGCACCGGGCGCAACATCTGGGGGTTAGGGTTAGGGGGCGCAAATCCATGGGTTAGGGTGTGCAAATTACTTGCCTTGCCCCGGGTGCTGACAACCCACGCTACGCCACTGGTGGAGACCAATAAATCTTTAACAAGATAGCATGCCATGTTTCTCAGCTATTGGGTGAGTCCACCTTCCTCATACCTTCAAAATTTCTATGCCTGAAAATCTCTCTAGAAGAAGTCAAATTCTATTTTTTCACAACAACAACAACTGGCACACTCAGGTGAGTTGCTGGTGCTACTCTTAATCTAGAAGATGGTGTGAATGCTTTGAACAACCTGAGCTTGGATATATTCCATTAACTTTTTGCTTTCTTCTTGTTTTTTCTTCATTCTTTACATTCCAGGTGAAGGATTCTTATCAGTCTGCCTGGATGGAGGAACCACTGCAAAAAGGTGCTTCAGTTGGGGTATTTTATTCTCAGATGTTTTCTATGAACTCTGAGCAAGCCAAACACATTGTTAAACACAGAGCAAGTTGCCTGACTCCTATATGTAGCAATTTCATCTACAGAATCAGATTGCTAAAAATCCAGCTTCATATCTTACTTTATTACATCCGAGATGAGTACATATATTCTTACTGATCATTATTAATGGAAGTGTTAGATCACCCATGTATGCCAACTTGGGGTATTTTAGTTATGTAAAATCATTAGGAATCACTGGGAGAAAATTACTTGAAGAAAATAAAGGATATTGCTGGTTATAGCAATATCAGAAGAGAAACCAGAGTATTGCTGGTTATGACATACTAGATAATCCTAAAGTGTATATCTAGGATAATTGGAGGTCTTACTTCTGAAAGATTATAAACTAGTGGCCTGTGTATGTAACCGCATAGAAAACATCAGTGAAACAAACCTTGTTTGATTGACAAAGGCTGTGTTATATAATTATATCAAGGCTGTGTTATATACTGGTAATTAAACAATGGTATTTTATAACTTACGTAGACATTCAGGATTTGGACTCCATCCATTCTCTGTGCATACTACATGGTCACCTGTGGCCTTTTTAATAGTTTCAAACCCATCTTTACATTTGTAGTGAAGTGTTTCTTCAAACAAGAAAACCGATTGACTTGTGTTAAAGATTACATTATTTTGAGTTGGTACTTGGCATGTCTCTGAGGAAATAAAGAATGAATTATATTTATGATTGGTTTTATAGCATCAGTTTACATGCTCTAAAATCTTGCTAGTTCAGACTCCATGAACATACATGTGAAATTAAGATTTTTTTGCCCCAATATGCATCACTTTACAGTTGTTTAAATAGAATTGCCTTTGCCATTCTACCACCAATTCACTCAGTTTGGAGAGTCCCTTTTGGAGCTCTTCACTGTCTCTTTTGTTACAATGACCATGAACAATTTAGTATCACCAGCTTCCCTGGCCATTTCACTGCTCACCTCTAACTCTAGATTGTCTATGAGCTAGTTAAAAGGAACAGGTCCCATTACTGATTCTTAGGGACTTCACTTTCTGAATCCCTTCATTCAGAGAACTGTCCATTTCTTTCTTCCTGCTGGTTAACCAATTCCTGGTTCATAAAGGAACTTCACCTCTTATTTCATGACTGCCAAGCTTATTTAGGAGTCTTTGGTGAGATACCTTGTCAAAAGCTTTTTCAAAGTCCAAGGGGTCAACCAGATCACCACCATTCATATGTGCCTGCTAACACACTCAAAGAACTCTACTAAGTGGGTGAGACAGGATTTGCCCTTACAGCAGCCAGGCTGTTTCTACTTCAGCAAGATTTCTTTTTCTATATGGTTGGTTATTTTATTTTTCACAATACTTTCCACAAATTTCCTCAGAACAGGCATTAAGCAAGCAGAAATTAAGCAACTTTAACCTCGTACCTATGGGACCGCCTCTCCTGGTATGCCCCGCGGAGGACCTTAAGGTCCACAAATAACAACACTTTGGAGGTCCCAAGCCGCAAGGTGGTTAGATTGGTCTCAACTAAGGCCAGGGCCTTTTCAGTACTGGCCCCGACTTGGTGGAACGCTCTCTCACAAGAGACTAGGGCCCTGAGGGACGACATCTTTCTGCAGGGCCTGCAACACAGAGCTGTTCTGCCTGGCTTTTAGTTTGGACTCAGTCTGACCCTTATATTTCCCTCCCCTTGTGTTTTAGATTTATGGGATACTATTAAAATAATGCTGCATTATAAATTGTATTTTAACCTGTATTTTAATAAACTGGTTTTTTGTTTGTTTGTTTGTCCCCCCCCCCATTATGTTTTATTGTAATTTTATTGATGTTAGCCACCCTGAGCCCGGCTCTGGCCGGGGAGGGCGGGGTATAAAAAAAATTTATTATTATTATTATTACTACTACTACTACTACAACTTCCAGGCTCTCCCTGGATCCCATTTTAAAAACTGGAGATACATTAGCTATTTTCCAGGCCTCATTATGAAGGCTAATCTGAGGGACAAGTTACATATTGTAGCTAAATGGACAGCAATTTCACATTTGAGTTCTTTGACTACTCTAGGATGGATTTGCCAGTTTGCATTTCATCAATGAGGCCTAGAACTTTGTCTCTCATCAATTGATTGGCAAGAAAACAACTTCTTGTTGTTAGTTTGAGTCTCCTGTTGTAATACGTTCCTCAATATTTTGCTTTCGAAATTACTACCACTGAAAGAAGATGGAGGAAACAGACAGAAGAAGTCCATATTGTGTAGAGTTTAGCCAGGTTGCACATGGTTATCAGAGCAGACTGCTTTTTAAGCTTAAGTTAATGACTTTTCCAATGTGTGGTCTAAACCAACCCATTTTTCATCCATAATACAAGATTCTTTAAACTCCTTACTGATACACTTTGGTTCAGGCTTCCACCCTTCTTCATGGCATTGTATATCTCCCGTTTCAAGTCCTTGTGGAGTTGTGAAGCCAGGCTGACAGCGATATGATGTTTTGTCATTCAAATTATATTGGTTTCTTCTTTCAGTGAAAAAGCCGTTTGGTGGTTTCGCGGGTCGACATATTTCTAATGAGGAAAAGGAACATATTAGATACATGAACCCATAAATTATGGTGGGCTTTGTTAGCTAAGAATCAGCTTCTTGTGAAGTCCACTACAATGTTTCATAAATTTCTCAACTGAGATCTAGTCTGGTTAAGTTATGTAGCTCAGGTTTTAGAGAGACTTTAAGGTTCATTCCACAGCCTGTTAGAAGTCCCACCCTTTGAGTACAAATATTAAACAAGTTCTTCCAGGTTCAGCTCCATCTACCACATGTTTGGTAAGTACCCAGACTGCTTGTGATTGCTTCACCCAGTGAAGAGATGTTCAGAAGAGATAGGTGCTGCAAAGGCCTCTTTCCTCTGCTACTCATTACAAATCAACATGAGATTTGCAAACATGCACATCCTTAAGCTTTCCTATAACTGTGAGAAGTCCAAGAAAATAATATAATGTACTGGTTGTTCACAGCAAGACAGGGCAGGCTCCGGGTTCTCAGGTTCTATATTGTCAAATTGGATTCCATGAATAACACTTACTTTTTACATTACAACGTGGAGTAGGTGACCAGCCATTTTTGGTGCACACGGCCTTAGCTTGTTGATTTATAGGATCATATCCAACCTCACAAGAATACGAAATTTCATCACCTTCTATGAACTCCTGCCAAGTATGGACATTGAATGTACCATGTGCAAGCAGTCTAGGAATATCACATTTTTCTAAAAGGGAGGGAAAAGCTTACATCATTGATTGACACATATTTTGGCAATTGAAATCTTATTTTCAAGATAGATGGTGCATTACTCAAGAGACTTGGTTTAAAGTTCTCCTATATGCTTTTGCAACATATAGATGTAGAAAATAGACACACAATATGATTCATAAAATAGGTCTTTTATGGACCCCTTCATGTGTTGAAAGAATCTTTAGGAGTCACAGTGTCACACCACTTTTCTCTTTTAACAACCTTTCCTAGCTGCTTAAATATGAATTGATCCTATCAATATTTGAAGGTGAATCTGTATTTGAACGTGAATGTTATTTGCCTTCACAAAACAATTCAGAAACCAAAACATAGTCATCGTTCGAAATTCTCACTGCTCTGAATTTTGCAATGGCCAACTGATGTGTAGAAAGGTGCATATGTTAGGGTACTGTGTGGATTAAAATACATACATATTTGGAAAATAGCATACAAAAATGCATTGTGTAGGGGGAATGGCTTTGCAAAAATGTGTATGTTAGGCAAACTGCCATTCAATATTAGCCAACATTTATTGACAATTTGTCACTACACACACACACACCCACACCACACAAACCAATAAACTGATGTGGAAATGTGGAGAAATGAACATAAGATTGGAAAAATTAGAAACCCAAAGAAACTAAAACTAACAGATTTGTCCATCACTAACTAGAGGCCCCTGGAAGCGGGGGGATGGGACACATTGTGATGTGTGACGTATAGAGAAAAGGAGAGGTGACTCCATAGGTATCGGAGGGCAGCCATTTTTGTCTCCATACAATTACCCAGGAAGGAGTGTCACATCATAAAGCACTATGGCCGCCAGGTGCTTATTACACCAAACTTGAGCAGTTAGATTTTTTGTTAAAGGAAAAAGTGTACCAAGGAACCCCTTCAAATACCATTATAACTATTATTTTTTATATTTAAAGAATAGGCGTATTTTTAGGATTTTGTCTTAAAATATTACACAGGCAATTGACAGAAGGGACTTACAGTGTACTTGTGTGGCGATCACAAGGATGAGAGATTAAGATGATTCAACCCTCCCCTACGTCCATAGTCACCTGCCCAAATGCCAAGATCTTCCACTGATATCAAGGGGTGGTGATCACACAGAAAGCCTTTCCATCAGCCCCCACCCCCCACATATGGAACACAATCGCCACTACCAAATGGGTCAACCTGTTACTCAGCTTATTATATTTTTGGTGCCATATGAAGACATTTTAATATTAAATTTTAAAGTTTTCCACTCTGATTACTCACTGTTTAACCGCGTTACACATTTTCCTTCCACATCTTTCGGAAGAGGCATATTTTGTCATTTCCATTTCTGATCAAAGTTGAGAATGCAAGGGAAATGTTAACTTACTGAAGCATTTTGGTTCTGGACTCCAGCCGAATTTGGTGCATGAACTTCTACCCCATGTATCTTTATTTCTTGATAGAAAACCATAACTGCAACGATAGTCAACTGTTTGCCCCACCCTTTTTGGAAAATAGTAGTCTTTCCAGTGTTCATAGGTATCAGATAGTTGTCCATTCTCAATCCGAATATAGTCACAGTTCTTTGCTTTGGAGAAGATGAGAAAAAGGTTAAGCCAAACATAAATAAATCAGGATGTTCCACTTGCTATTTTCCTTGGGCTGGCTGGTTTAATGGAGGATGCACATTTGGCTCAAGTGTATCAGTGTCTGAATTTTATCTGGGTTTCCCTCTTTGGTCTGTGTATGAAAACAGAAATAGATGACTGTGGCAGAAGATGCCGGTGGTCCCCAGACCCACGTTTGCTGCCAGGAACAGTCAGAGCTGGGGAAAGACAGTTTGCTGGGGCTTGAAGACCACAGTCTTCTCCAGCCCAGAGATAAGCTTTTGACCCTTAGAACAAGGACATAGGGTAATGGTGCGGGGAACTCCAATATTTTAGCAAGCATTGAAATCAAATCTTTGCAAAAAGCTCGAGCCTATGCAGACATTCAGTCGGATGTGCCTGCATCCCTATTTCTGTATACCTGAAGGAGCGTCTCCACCCCCATCGTTCAGCCCGGATACTGAGATCCAGCTCCGAGGGCCTTCTGGTGGTTCCCTCATTGCGAGAAGTAAGGTTACAGGGAACCAGGCAGAGGGCCTTCTCGGTAGTGGCGCCCACCCTGTGGAACACCCTCCCTTCAGATGTGAAGGAAATAAGTAACTATCCTATCTTTAAAAGACATCTGAAGGCAGCCCTGTTCAGGGAAGTTTTTAATATTTAACGCTGTATTGTTTTTAATACTTGATTGGGCACCGCCCAGAGTGGCTGGGGAAACTCAGCCAGATGGGCGGGGTGTAAATAATAAATTATTATCATTATTATTATTTCGTCCGATATATTTGTGAATGACGGCAATAAAACTTTGTACTTGGGGACAACATTTCAGTGGGCAAAAATCTGACCCCTTATACTCTGACTGTGAATACCCCAGCCTCCATCCAAGGGACCCCATGTGCCTCCATGCACAGCCCCTCACCTCCAGTCATAGTGCAATAGGTAGAGGTTCTTGGCTCTTCCTTCACACACACCTCAACTATCATCGTGATGAGCATATAATTCATAAACTACAAAGTTGGATGCATATAATGCTAGTTGTTCATGTTTTGAAACTGCAAAGAGAAAGCTACTTACGAATACATATCGGAGGAGGAGACCACCCCGTCTCTGTACACGTGGAAGTGGATTGGCGGTTCTGAAGCTGATACCCAGACGCACACTGTGTTTCGATTGTGTCTTGATATTCATAGTGACTCTGCTTAGGATGGTAGTCGCCATTTTCTATTTGGGGTTGGGAGCAGACAATTTCTATGGAGGAATACAAGGAGGACACTTGGTCAACAACAGATCAAGCAACAAACTCTTTCCCTGGCTAGATATAATTCAGTACATCGGTATGAGAACGTATTTATTATTTGTTAAAAACAAACTTCAAAGCGGTTTATGAAATATTAATAATTTTTTCAGTAAGATAGAAAAGCAATATTTTCAAAGACCAAAGTCTTAATAAGGAATGGGGGAAATTTATGGAGATGCAAAAGATTTGGATTATTGTAAAAGATGCAGGATGAAAGGACTAGCAATAGGACCCACAAAGGAGGGTTAGGGTTAGGGTTAGGGTTAGGGTTAGGGTTAGGGTTAGGGTTAGATTCTGTGGAATCTTGTTTCTATATTGTATGTTATTGTAAAATTTAATTTGAAAAACCCAAATAAATTCGCAAAAAAAGAAAGTAAACAATAATAATAATTCTAAACTTTCAAAAAGATAAAATAACAGTGTCAAGGCTGCCTCAAGTCTCAGCTCACAAAAGACCAACGCCTATGTCTTCTTATATACAAAGGTGTTTATTGCAGTTCATTGTTTGCTTGACATCCTAGGCGCGCAGCCTCACGTCTCTTACGCTTAGACCGCTGAAGTCCCCTCTGAGTCAGTCCCTCCCCTGCACCAATTTAAGAGACTTGCGCTGCTCCACCTCTTTCTCTCCTTCCTTTTCCGCAGGGTCCTTCTGCCCGCTGGGGTTTCGCCCCTCCTGGATTCCTCTGACGCGGAATCAGACTGCTCTTCCCCCCTCCTGCGGGCTTTGGGACCTGGCCCCTCCTCCGGGCTCCCTGTACTTCCGCGCGCCTCTACATTTGAACTAGGCGCGCGCCAAACCTCTAACTTTCCTTTTGACAGTTACACTACTCCCTTCACTGCTCCCTCCCCTTCCGGGAGGGCGGCTTGCTCTGACCCCCTCCTTTCTCTGCTGCCGGAGCTGCTTCCTCTGACACACTGGAAACTCCACCCCTTCGCTGCACTCTGGTGGGGAGGCTGGTCCTGACGCCCAGCTGCCACTTTGGGATCCTCCGCTGGCCCCCTGCTCCTGACACGTCCCCCTGGGGCTCCTGGCCTTGACCACCGGCGCCCCTTCTGGGAATCCTCTGATTCGCTGGAAAGACTCATGGAATCTCTTGAGCCATTGTCATCCTCTTCCTCGCTGGCTTGGAATTCCTCCCCATCGCTCTCCATCTCCTGCCTACCCTGTGCCTCTCTCCCTGAACCCCTGACAAACAGTATAATAAGAACAGATTAAAATTCACATCTAAACATCTTAGCAAAAGATTGCAAAACCAGAATCAGCAGAACTTGCTAAAGGAAACTTACTTGATTAACAATACGTATTTTTAAATCAGTCAGTTTCTGAATCGGGGTGTGTGTGTGTGTGTGTGTCAAAGCTCATGCAAAAGTCCCAGGCAGTGTCTGAAGATCAGGCTGGGACAGACCCCTGTCTTGAAACCATGTAGAGCCAGACTGAGCTAGATGGGGATAAGGCAGCTTCCTTTGCTCCTATGACCATAGCCACCAGATGAAAAGGAACAAAAGCACACGTATTCTGTTCTTGGATCACCAAACTATTATTCCCCTTTAAAATAATATAAGCACAGTGCTGCAACATGCCAATGCCATTCTAGATCTTCCTCTCTTCCCTTTCTGCTGTCATAGATGTTTTTTGTGAACCACCCTGAAACCTCCAGATTATTGGGTAGTATATAAATTCAAAATAATAATAATAATAATAATAATAATAATAATAATAATAATAGGTGCCTTTCCGGACACCACTGTAGAAGGAGCATTCCCTCCTATATGCAAGATGTGAGTGATGAGTAAATAAATACCGGTATAAAACACAAAATGGCATAGTTTTAAAGGTGTAAAAATCATTCTCCCGATTCACCAAGGACAACGTTCTGATCTATTTTAAATCATCTAATCCAATCCACTTGACTAAAATTGCAATCTTGTGCACAATTCCCTCAGAGAGCTGTGCAACAGAGTGGGCTTACTTCAAAGTAAGCATGCACAGGGTTACACTGAAACGACGACAGCTCTAGGAACTGGAAACATACGAACCTATGCACGCAAGTCTTGAACTCCATCCATTCCGAGTGCATGTAGCATCCGATCTCTCAGCATGCTTGTACCCATTAGAACATGAGAAGTGCACTCGGTCCCCCTCTTTGTAAAGTTTCTTTGGGTTTAGTATATATCCATGATCGATGTTTTCTTCTTGGCAAGTAATTTCTACCGCAAAATACAAACAAAATTTCTGCATTAGAAGAAGAAGAAGAGTTTGGACTTGATATCCCGCTTTATCACTGCCCTAAGAAGTCTCAAAGCGGCTCACAATCTCCTTTCCCTTCCTCCCCCACAACAAACACTCTGTGAGGTAAGTGGGGCTGAGAGACTTCAGAGAAGTGTGACTGGCCCAAGGTCACCCAGCAGCTGCATGTGGAGGAGCGGAGAAGCGAACCCGGTTCCCCACATTACGAGTCCACCACTCTTAACCACTTCACCACACTGGCTCTCAGGAAACGAGGTGTTAACTTGTAACAAAAAGAGATGTAATGCAATGTTTCTAAAAAGTTTCTTCCATGAAGAATTCACTGTATTCCCATTTCTAAGGTGCCAGAACTCAGAAGGAGTCACGTAATCACGCACGAGAGCAGGCGAAATGCAGAACTGAAGTCATTATTCTCATTCAGGAGTGAACTAGATTCAAGCCCAGTGACATAAAATATTCTCAACAGCTTCCATATGTTTCCTAGGTGTTGAAAGAATCTTTAGGAGTCACAATGACACACCACTTTTTTCTCTTTTAACAACCTTTCCTAGCTGCTTAAATATGAATTGATCCTACCAATATTTGAAGGTGAATCTGTATTTGAACGTGAATGTTATTTGCCGTCGCAAAAAAATACAGAAACCAAAACACAGAAATCCTTCGAAATTCTCACTGCTCTGAATTTTGCAATGCAGTTCTCTGGCCAACTGATGTGTAGAAAGGTGCATATGCTAGGGTACTGTGTGGATTAAATTACATACATATTTGGAAAATAGCATACAAAAATGCATTATGTAGGGGGAAATGGCTTTGCAAAAATGTGTATGTTAGGCAAACTGCCATACAATATTAGCCAACATTTACTGACAATTTGTCACTATATATATATATATATATATATATATATATATATATATCTCTCTCTCTCTCTCTCTCTCTCTCTCTCTCACACACACACACACACACAGAGTTGTGGCTGGCCAGCTGGTGTGGATGGTTTGGCACTGCTCACCTGGGCTACCCAATATCATACATTGCTGCCAACTACCAAGAATTGATGCTTTTGAATTATGGTGCTGGAGGAGGCTCTTGAGAGTCCCATGGACTGAAAGAAGATCAAATGCATCCATTCTTAAGGAAATCAGCCCTGAGTGCTCACTGGAAGGACAGATTGTGAAGCTGAGGGTCCAATACTTTGGCCACCTCATGAGAAGAGAAGACTCCCTGGAAAAGACCCTGATGTTGGGAAAGATGGAGGGCACAAGGAGAAGGGGATGACAGAGGGCGGGATGGTTGGACAGTGTTCTTGAAGCTACCAGCATGAGTTTGACCAAACTGCGGGATGCAGTGGAAGACAGAAGTGCCTGGCGTGCTCTGGTCCATGGGGTCACGAAGAGTCGGACACGACTAAACGACTAAACAACAACAACAACCAAGAGTGGGGGGCAAGGCAGTGGGGAGTTGTGACACAGGTGCAGTGGCAGAGTCAATCCAGCACTGCCACTGCACTGTGCTGAGCTCCTCACTGCCTTCCCCTTCCCCTTTCTCTAACTGGCAGTGATGCCAGGAAAGCAATGCTCCCCTACCGGCGACTGCAACAAGGGTAGACTGCAACTGCCTCCCTATCATCCTGAGCATTTCCCTTGAGCATCGTGACTTGTTTCCTCGAAAAGTGAATGCCTATGTCATAGAAGCACAACAAAGGAAGTGAGCTGTGGTGACCTTGCCTCTCCTCCCCTGCTGGAATTGTGCTTGCCCTCATTGCCTAAGGATTTTGGATGCGTGAAAATGCCTTGCTCTACACTGGATTGCTTCTGTGCCTGGCCACAATCCAATATTTGGCCATTCATTAGCCCAGGTGAGAACAAAAATGGCCTTTCCAAAAACACTGTCTCTACAAGCCGGCATCTGGAAAGGCTAGTTGCCCCATCCCCAGGTTTGAACATGACACTCTGGATGGCAGAGGTACTCTATCCAATTTGCACAAAGTACTCATCTCCGTTGGGAAAGATGGAGGGCACAAGGAGAAGGAGACAACAGAGGAAGAGATGGTTGGATAGTGTTCTCGAAGCTACCAGCATGAGTTTGACCAAATTGCGGGAGGCAGTGGAAGACAGGAGTGCCTGGCGTGCTCTGGTCCAGGGGGTCACGAAGAGTCGGACACGACTAAACGACTAAACAACAACACTCATCTCTTACTTTTTCACTCAGCACCAATGGCTGAGAACGATGTGCTCAAGCAGCTTCTTAAACTACCTGTGACAGGAAGCTTAAAACACCCTACCTCTTTTTTGTAGATGGCTTGTCTGTTGTGTCAAGTAACATCCCCCCACCTTTTAAGGAAATAAAGCATTTAAGAGTGCCCCCATTGTTCAATCTTCATTCAGTCTTTACTGGACCTCATCAAGATTGCTCCAGCCTGGTTCAGCTTTCCCCTCACCTCTCTCTCTACCTTTTACCCTTGCCTGTCCTCCATCTTTGTCATTTACTTACATTCTAGCCAGGTACCTAGAGAGGACAGGAAGCCTCAAACCTCCCCGTTAAAGCTATTTTTCAATGAACTGAGAACGTTGAGGAGAATCCAAGTTGCTTGCTTTCGAAACCACACCATGTCGGGCTCAAAGGAACCTATGCATGTACAAAATCCCTTTAATTTACATGTCAGGGTTGTTCCATGAAATCTAGGCCTCTATTACAGTGTGCCAGATTCCTAGCAACCTCTTCTTGCTTTATAACATGACAGTAGCTTTCCCCACCTCCCTCTCTTTCTCTTCAGGTTCCACTCTGTGGTCATAGTTATAGGCAGTTGCACATTTACTGCTTATTCTTCTGTGATAAATATGTACAATCCTTGGTTTTGTACCTATACTGCTGATCTCCCCCTGTTACTGTAAAAAAGAAAGTGTCCCCATGGTGAACCATCTTCTCACCCCCAAGTATCACAAGACATGCTTCCATTGATGGCACATGTACACATGAACATCACATGTGATAAGGCACACATGTTAACACACCATCAATAAATTCAAAGACTCATTAAATCATTGATTTAGTTAGGTAAAGCTAATGGGAACTGCAGACCCTATTTCCCAGGGATGTTCCTATTTTCCAGGAATGTCCCTGATTTAGAGAAGCTGTCCAGGTGTCTGAGTTGATCCTGGAATGTCCCACTTTTCTGTTGTTGTTGTTGTTGTTGTTGTTTAGTCGTTTAGTTGTGTCTGACTCTTCGTGACCCCATGGACCAGAGCACGCCAGGCACTCCTGTCTTCCACTGCATCCCGCAGTTTGGTCAAACTCATGTTTGTAGCTTCTAGAACACTGTCCAACCATCTCATCCTCTGTCGTCCCCTTCTCCTTGTGCCCTCCTTCTTTCCCAACATCAGGGTCTTTTCCAGGGAGTCTTCTCTTCTCATGAGGTGGCCAAAGTATTGGAGCCTCAGCTTCACAATCTGTCCTTCCAGTGAGCAATCAGGGCTGATTTCCTTAAGAATGGAGGCGTTTGATCTTCTTGCAGTCCATGGGACTCTCAAGAGTCTCCTCCAGCACCATAATTCAAAAGCATCAATTCTTCTGCGATCAGCCTTCTTTATGGTCCAGCTCTCACTTCCATACTGGGAAAACCATGGCTTTAACTATACGGACCTTTGTTGGCACTTTTCCTTAGGATGTCCTTATTTTCATCAGAGAAATGTTGGAGGGTATGGAGTTATCTGACCCCCGAGCCATCTTTAGCTAATCCTGTATAGTTTTAAAAATGTTATTATGTTTTTATATATGTTGGAAGCTGCCCAGAGTGTCTGGGGCAACCCAATAAGATATGTGGGGTATAAATAGTAAAATTAATATTATGCAACAGAACATCCCTATTTTCATCAGAGAAATGTTGGAGGGTATGGAATTGATGGATCTAATTTTAATGAACAGCCCTATTATTTTATACAAACTCTTTGGTGATAATTTTTGGCATGCAAAAGGAGCTTTAAGCACTGAGCTTTAACATATCTTCTGCTGCTTTTGATTGTTCATTTTATCCCCTCCTCTCAACTAACCTACACATCTTGGTACATCATCACTCCAGTTTCCATGAGCTGTGCAAAAGATTTGTTCGGACCCCTGGATTTTGAAACTTGCAGAGCATTCAAATCGTAACACTTGGCCAAACAGAAATTCCTGGTCTAAGTCTTGTACTCCAGTCATAAGGATTCTTCCATTTTCTGGTGCTTTTACTGGGAAACACTTTGTCACTATAAAACAAATAACAACGTCATGCAAAGTTTAGCAAGATATTTTTTGAAGGTGATCAAGAAAAACAGTAGAAAATGCGTAGCATAATTACTACAACCATAATATAGTTGTACCTTGGAAGTTGAACGGGATCCATTCCAGAAGTCCATTCAACTTCCAAAACATTTGAAAACCAAATTGCAGCTTCTGATTGGCTGCAGGAAGTTCCTGCAGCCAATCAGAAGCCACGGAAGCCATGTCAGATGTTCAGGTTCCAAAAGAACGTTCACAAACTGGAACAAACACTTCTGGGTTTGTGGTGTTCGGAAGTGTTCCAGGGCATTTGGGATCCAAGGTACGAATGTACTCAACAGAAGACATTCAAGTGTACTATTTATCAACCGAAGAGGAATGCAGAAAATGCAATTCCCCCATCATTTTCTGATTATTTCCGTCTGTCTCTCTCCACTGTGTTGGGAGAGGCATCTGGCCCAGACTGAATTATTGAGCAGATCTATCAAAATTAAACCTGGCTGTGTGTGGATTTAATACACACAAGATTTTCTGTTCCGTTTTTCTTATCTTTGCCATTGGCCCTAACATACAATTTATAGCCTAAAGTGTTGGCTATCACAGCAGCCAAACATTCCTTTTAAAATCAGTAAATCTTCAATATCTACAGTATGAATCACTAGCTATATCAATGTTTCCATTAGCAAAGAAACTATTCCTCCACAAAAAAGTAGACCAATATTAATAGATTCTCAAAATTTGGGAATGAGACACAGGGGTGACTGTGCTGTTTTGTTTTACATGGTTTATTTACACATACATAGAACTTGAGTCTATGATGGAGGGATTCACAGCATCAACACCCAAATGGGTCTTGCGTCTCCCATAGACCCAACTTTGGTTTCAAACAGGCATCAAATATTGTGCTCTCCCTCCAGCTCTTCTGCTTCTCCTTCATATAACACCTAACTCTAACCTTTCTAACCTAAGCTCTGTGGCTTTATCTTTGAGGGAGAGGCCCCAACCAATTGCCATCTCACAATGAGTTCCCTTGACCTTTGTTGTCTTAATGGCCCATCTCAACACAGGAGGCTAGCTGAATTTAACTAGCTTTGAACACTTGCTGATTCCAGGGGATTCGAAGTGCCTAGCATACAGCCTAATACACATGGGTCTGGCAGCCAGTTTTAACATCCCAAGCCTTCATTGAATTCTAACACTTGCTCAGCTTGGAGATTATGGTGGTCTGGCACCAACAAATTTATAACACTATGGAATCCTGGGAGCTGTGCGAACAAAAGAGAAATGCTTCTTGCTCCAAGTAAAACAATTAAAGGACAAAGGCTCAGATTCAGTCCCCCTGCACACATAAAAAGAACATCCAGAAATACACAGAGGGTTGCAGTACCCTGGAAAGCTCCTCTGAGTTCCCCAGCCTTCAAAACAAAGGAGAAAGGGAATAAAAGAATTGGTGGAAGCTACCTTAGAGAACCTTAGACAATTCCAATGTACTCTGAATTTCAGTCAAGATCTCTGAAGGTCCACTTACCTTCACAATGAGGGACATCATTGCTCCATCCATCTGCACGACAATCCCGGTAATTTGTATGACTGAGCATCTTGTACCTGGAAGATTTTTTAAAAATAAACTGAAACTTTTTTAAACTATAGAATTACATGAGCTTCAGAATTACATCAGCTTCTGTAATATTACTTTGAAACATGATGAGGCTTCTGGAAAAGAAAGAGCATTTTCTAGTTGTTTCTAGGGATGATACGAATATTCAGGAACAGCTGCAGCTTGCACACCAGGCAAAGTTGACAAAAATAATTTGCAGCCACTTGTTTTCTTCTGACTGAAATACCTTATGGTGAAATGGGTGCCTTAGCCCAAGAGCAGTCAGGCACCCCAGCACTACCCAAGTACAACCACCCATTTAAGAATATAATATACACCTGATGTTCTCTTTTTTTTAATGAGTTTTTAAAAATCAGTAGAGTTTTTAATCATAAAGCAGCTGTCCTAAAAATACTACCATGATTAAATATCTGAAGGAGGGAGGGGAGACTTACCCGTCATCACATCGATACACAACACGAGCGCCAAAGACAAATTCATTTTCATTAACAATATCAAAAGAGCCAGACTGAATATCTCCAGGATGTCCGCATGGCTTTTCTGAAAATTAAAAAAAATGAAATGTAATGCATTATAACACTTCTGGTTAGAAAAACATGGCATTTGAGAACCATGCAATGTTAGGAGGAATATATGAGATTGTGAAGAACAGCCTTGCATCTTGTCTCTCCATGAAGAAATAGAAGACATTCAACATCACTGAGCTCAAAATTCCCCCACTCCTGCTCTGATTCACCAGGTGCCTCTTGTAGAAAAATTGGGGTGGAAGTCTTAAGTTGCTTCAAGCACCTTCTTTTAGAAGTCATAACCAGGGAGATACGAAGCTGTTTGTGGTGGCAAACAACTTTTCTTCAGAACATTGTATTTGGCCCTCAGCTTCCGTGTGTGTCCGTGTTTGTGTGTGCAATGATTCTTCAACATCAACTTTGTTGGACTGGTCATGTTGTGCAGATACCTGAATATCATCTTCCAAAGCAACTACTCTATTCCAAACTTAAAAATGGAAAGCGTAATGCTGGTGGTCAACAAAAGAGGTTCGAAGACTCTCTCAAGGCAAATCTTAAAAAATGTAGTATAAACACCGACAGCTGGGAAACACTGGCCTGCAAGCCCTCCAATTGGAGAACAGCCTTTACCAAAGGTGTCACGGGCTTTGAAGATGCTTGAACTCAGGATGAAAGAGAGAAATGCGCTAAGAGGAAGGCACGCTTGCAAACCCTCACAGTGATCAACTCCCACCCAGAAACCTATGTCCCCACTGTGGAAGGACGTGTGGATCCAGAACTGGCCTCCACAGTCACGTACAGACTCACTTTTAAAACCATGTTTATGGAAGACAATCTTACTTGGCTATGAGTGATCACCAAAGAAGAAGGAGAAGAGAAGTAGTGTAGGTAGCATTCAGCTTTCAGTTAAAAAGGAAAACGATAATATTTCTCCACCTCTCTGAGTGGAAACAAATAATGGAATCCAAATGTCAAACAAAAAAAGAGAGATAGTGCCTACAAACTGAAATAGAACCTTGTGGTCTCTGTTAGAATGCTAAAAAAAGTGAGTCATCCCAATGATTATCACAAAGAGAAAAAAATTAACTGCTCAAAATATTTCAATTGCCTGTGATTCTGAATTCTACAAAGTTATGCTTTTACTTACTCCTGCATTCCACATGTGGTACAGATTGCACCCATTCTCCATCATTGCACTGAAATCTAAGACGCCCAAGTTTTATGTATCCAGGCCGGCAGTTGTAGATTACTTCTTCCCCATGGGAATAGGATGGTTTGCCTGGTAATTTTGCAAGTTCTTCACGGTCTCTTCTTGGGGGTGGTCCACAGTCATTTCCACCTAGATACAAGTGAGGGGGGGGGAAAGCATCAATCAAGCATGACTTCCAGGTCCTGTACACTAACATTTAAAGTATCTGAAGAAAAAAGAGCAAGAACTGAGGATTCCAATGAATAAAGCAATAAAAACGCTGGCTTCGTAATTGTGATTGCTACCTAACCTCCCTTCATTGTACTATAAGTCAGGTTTGAACAGAAAGTATGTTGCTGTCCATCAGTGGAAAGTGTTCAGAATACCCCGTTGCTGGGATTGTCACAAAATACTGGTCTTATTCGGCAACACACTAATTCGGCAAGGACACTAATCACTTGAATACCTTACCCAGGAAGGTGACAGTAATAACGGGCTAATATTGATCAAGATAATTTGAGTCTAAAAAGGTTGTTCCAGGAGTATTCTTCAGGGAGGCTTAGTCAAGAATTAAGTTTCTTAGACCTACACCCCACCCAGTTAGATGCAATGCAATAAAGTAAAGTAAAGGACCCCTGACAGTAAAGTCCAGTCGTGAATGACTCTGGGGTTGCGATGCTCATCTCGCTTTACTGGCCGAGGATTTTAAAGGTTGTTGGCATCCGTCTGTCTCGAGAGACAATGGAGTCTGCTTCTGGGGGGTGAAGTTAGATTGCCACATTAGCAGCACTGAAGTGACCTCTGTGGTGTGCAAGCCTGGGCTGCTGAGACTAGCCATGCTGATGTGGTCCAAAGGAAAACAGAGCAATACTTTTAGCACCAACCTGGCTGCAGGAGTTGCCGGAAGGAGGTGTACAAGGTGCCATTCAACCAAATTAGGGACTCTACTCCGGATTTGTGTAGTGTTTACTGCTTAGCCTTTTCCTCTCCTGAAGACATCCCACAAGGCAGTGGAGGTTTAGGATCAGAGACTTCCTTCTCCTAGACCAGCGGTTCTCAACCTGTGGGTCCCCAGATGTTGTTGGACTACAACTCCCATCATCCCTGAGCTCTGGCCTTGCTACCTATGGAAGATGGGAGTTGTAGTCCAACAACATCTGGGGACCCACAGGTTGAGAACCGCTGTCCTAGACAAACTTCATTGCCCCTCACTTCTTTCTACAGCACGTGCAGAAATCACCTTCATGACCATTGGACCCACTGTTGGCCTCATCCACTCAATCCATTAGAGCTTGTCTTATTCTAGGAGCCACAGGCGAGAGCTGAGTGCAGGGTGGAGACCAACTATGGTCAAACTACCCCAGAACAGGCACGATTGCCCCCTACCAGAGGTACTCTTCCTCCCCTAACATCCCATACAAAATCAGACTAGTGCAAGGCAATTCAGATTGCTCTGCCAATCAATTAACTGAACGGCATGATCCTACACAAGGCTACGTGAGCTCAGTGGTTTAGGAATGAAACTGATTCATCTGACTTAATACTACATTTGTAGTCACTGGAACATAGCCTCAGACTATTATTGAAAAAAGATTCAGCTCTCTCTTTTTCAAGTGTGCAGTTGGATTTTATATAGTACTGTGGCTCCCACTAGAGGGTGCAGTCATACTATCCAAAGGATGCACTGTCTGACTAAAGACTATGAAAGACCCATTCAAACTTGTTTTCTTCTACTTATTTTTCAAGATTTGTTTCTTTTGTTTGATATGCGGATATTTCTCTGTAAAAAAAAAGTCTCCAACTTTTTCATGATTTGAGAAATCATGTGAGTAATTATTTTTTGCAAATTGTCCTGGCCGATAGCATCATCATCACCATTTTGCCTCCAACCTCACTATTTACAGGTCCACCTCTCCCCAACAAACCATGCAACTCAATGACACTTCATGAATTTGATGGACTTCAGTCTGCAAAGGTACATGGCATTATAAATGCTATACTTTAAGTTAGAGTCATAGAATAGTAGAGATGGAAGGGACTCTGAGGATCATCCGGTCCAACTCTCTGCAATGTCAGAATATGCAGCTGTCCCATATGGGGACCAAACCTGCAACCTTGGTGTGACCAGCACCATGCTCTAACCAACTGAGCTATCCAGTCACCAGAAGACTCTTTGCTGTTTTTGCTGCAAGAGACTAACACCGCTACACCTCTGGGCACGATCTGAGAATGCCCAAATTCCATTCTGCAGGCAATCAATAGCGTTTAAAGTGCAAGGCAGATGAGAATCTTTCCTATGGGGCTGTTTGCACGAATGCATTGTATCCAACAGCAGCCAGTGATATCCCACTGAAAGCTCACAAGTAGCATGTGAAGGAATGTGTTGTGTAGGGGAGGAACCTGTGGATCCCCCAAAGACCCACTGCGACCAACTGGCTGCACACTTTGAGGATTAAGTCACTCAACTTTGGAGTGATCTTGACTCTGCACTTGCTGAAGCTCCGGTTGAAATATCATATTGGCCCGAATATAAGCCACACTTTTTGTTTCCAAATTCCGACTGTGAAAAGTTAAAGTGTGGCTTATATTCGGAAGTGAGTGCGCCTGCCTCCTAGCACTGCCACCCTGAAGCGGGTCTTATATTTGGGCCAATACAGTATGCAGTGCTGTTATCGAGGATGCTTTGCAGGGTCAGTTTCACCTTCTGCAATCAGCTGATGTAGTCAAGGCAATGTGTCCGACCACGTGCCCCCTAGACCCCTGTCCATAGAACCATAGAACTGTAGAGTTTGAAGGGACCCCAGAGTCATCTAGTCTAATCCCCTGCAATGCAGTTGGCCCATCATCATCATTATCATCATCATTTTTAATTTGTATACCGTCTTTCTATCTTACAATACTCAAGGCGGTTTACAAGCTGAAGAAACAAAAAATGTGCATCTTATAACAATCTAATGCAATACAAAAATGTGATAATAAAACAACTTTAAAATAGGCAACCTACATCAAAAAAGTAACATTCAACAATCTTTAGAATAGTATAAAATAATAATATCAACATATAAAAGTTAAGCAGAAATCCACTCAGCAGTTACAATAAATATCTAAACTGTAATCAATAAAATAATGGGAAGCCACATTACATAAAATAATACAATACACATTGAGAAGCAGAAACTAGAGGGTAGAGCAAGGCAGGTGGAAGGAGGCCCTCACAGTTCTTCCTTCAGGGACAGCTCCTTCATGAGGAGTCCCAGGAACAGGGGGTGGGGCAAGGCAGGTGGGGGCAGGGGGTGTGGCAACCAACTGCAACAAGCCCCTTTAGGGCTGGGGGTGGAGAGGACCGTGGTGGGGCAGCCCCAAGCATTCTTAGAGGACAAAGATTATTTAGATCCATTCCATTCTGGGTTCAGACCTGGCCACCGTTTCGGTCAAACTGATGAATGACCTTTTTGCAGAGAGTGGGACAAGGGGATTATGACCTTGTTCCAGCTTCTGGATCAGTCATCCGTGTTTGAGACCATAGACCATGACATCCTCTTGAACCAAGTCTGGGGAATGGGAATTGTGGTATGACAGTGCTTCCAATACTACCTTTAGGACCAAGTCTAGAGTGTAGCATAGCTTTTGGGCCCCTGGTGGCTACTTTATGGGGTGCCGCAGGGGATATAATAATAATAATAATAATAATAATAATAATAATAATAATAACAATAATTTATTACTTATATGGCTCCCAACAGATTATTAAAAACACAATAACACATCAAACATAAAAAAACTTCCCTAAACAGGACTGCCTTCAGATGTCTTCTAAAAGTCAGATAGTTGTTTGTTTCCTCGATATCTGAAGGGAGGGCGTTCCACAGGGAGGGTGCCACCACTGAGAAGGCCCTCTGCCTGGTTCCCTGTGACCTCACATCTCACAGTGAGGGAACCGCCAGAAGGCCCTCGGCGCTGGACCTCAGTGTCTGGGCTGAACGATGGTGGTGGAGACACCCCTTCAGGTATACTGGGCAAAGGCTATTTAGGGCTTTAAAGGTCAGCACCAACACTTTGAATTGTGCTTGGAACCGTACTGGGAGCCAATGTAGGTCTTTCAGGACCGGTGTTATATGGAACTATTACACTCCAGTGCTATTTAATATCTACATGAAGCCATTGGGAGCAGTCATTAGGAGTTTTGGGGTTAGATGCCCTCAGTATGCAGATGACACTCTGTTTCCTGCTTGGCAGGGGGTTGGACTCGATGGCCCTTGTGGTCTCTTCCAACTCTATGATTCTATGATTGTATGATTCTATTTCTCCATAACATCTGAATCAGGAGAGGCTGCAAAGTCCCTGGACCACTGCCGGGACGCAGTGGTGAAATGGATGCGGAAAAACAAGCTGAGCTTGAATCCTGGCACTGTGGGTGAGTCGTTCCTATGTCTGAGAAATTGGTCGGTTGCCTACCTTGAATGGGGTCACACTCCCTGTGAAAGGACTTGCACTTTGTAGGGGGTTCTTCTGCATCCAGTTCTGCCACTAGAGGCTCAAGTAGCCTCGGGGGCTAGAAATGCCTTTTTACCAACTGCAGCTGGTTCGACAGCTCTCTCCCACTCCCCTCAGGGCAAACACTTTCGTTTCGTACAGCAGCTCTTAAGAGCCAAAGGGACTGGGCTTCGGGGCATGTACACATGAGAAGTGTTCCCATACTTGCACCACAGCCTTAATGATGTGATAGCAGGGGAGTAGTGGAGAGAAGGAAGAGGCAATTTTATACAGTGACATAGAGAGAGAGAGAGATCTAGTTTACTGGGCCTCACAGGCTTGCATTATAATTTAGAGCCCTGTACAAATTGTCTCTTGGAATTCTCCACTTCAGTTGTGGCTGAAGAAGACGGAAGGGCCACTTCAGCAAATTTCATCACAGGGAGAAGACATTTTCCAACAGGAGTCAGCTCTAATAGGAGTGAGACTCACTGTTAGCAGTAGCACAATGTTTTCCTTCCTTTCTATCTTAGGCTTCTCATTGTGGTCACTTTAAACCACAGAGGCGCAGGTTAATTCTGTGTCCAGGGTGGCTGTCTACCAGCTCCACTTGGTAAGCAGGCTAAGACTCTACCTGCCCGCAGACTGTCTCGCCAGAGTGGTGCATGCTCTAGTTATCTCCCGCTTGGACTACTGCAATGTGCTCCACGTGGGGCTACCTTTGAAGGTGACTCGGAAACTGCAATTAATCCAGAATGCGGCAGCTAGACTGGTGACTGGGACTGGCCGCCGGGACCACATAACACCGGTCCTGAGAGATCTGCGTTGGCTCCCAGTACGCTTCCGAGCACAATTCAAAGTGTTGGTGCTGACCTTGAAAGTCCTAAATGGCCTTGGTCCAGTATACCTGAAGGAGTGTCTCCACCCCCATCATTCAGCCCCACTGAGATCCAGCGCCAAGGGCCTTCTGGCGGTTCCCTCATTGCGAGAAGTGAGGTTACAGGGAACCAGACAGAGGGCCTTCTCAGTAGTGGCGCCCACCCTGTGGAACACCCTCCCTTCAGATGTGAAGGAAATAAGCAGCTATTCTATCTTTAAAAGACATCTGAAGGCAGCCCTGTTCAGGGAAGTTTTAATATTTAATGCTGTACTATTTTTAACATTTGATTGGGAGCTGCGCAGAGTAGCTGGGTAAACTCAGCCAGATGGACGGGGTATAAATAAAAAATTATTATTATTATTATTTATTATTTATTATTATTATTATTATTATTATACAGGAGCAGAGGCAATGGTGTCGACAACCCACCCACTATTTTTGCCTTCTCCACAATGTCTAGTGCCATGCCAGAGCTTTGGGTTGGGGGGAAGTGTGAAAGTTGCCACAAAAATAGGGTGAAGACTATTCAGAGGAAATTTGGTTGTGGGGGTGCCTTCCTTTTCTGCCAGGAGTTGAGGAGGGGAAGGGGGGGGGATCTCGGAAATTTCTCTCAGAAAATAGGGTCCTAAGGAATTTCAGCTTAGCTCCTGCTAAGTGCTCTTGCATAGCATGCAGCCCTGCTGGCTAATAGCCTTAGAAGCATAACAGCCATGGGCTTTCAGCTTCTTTTCAGATTTTAAATGTATGAATTTTGCTTTTCAAAAAGATCCACAAACATGCATGCCTTCCTTTGCCTTTATATAATGGAAACATTTCAGAACATGTTAGAAAACATTCTGGGTGAAGAATGGTTTTCAAAACAGTTATCAGCAACAACTCTTTGTGATTTGACAGCATGGAAAAGATTGCTGTTCCTGGTTATTTTAATCTAAACAGGAATCCTGATCAACACTGCAGACGAAGAATTCTTATCTCATAAATACTCACTTATTTCCCCATTACCACCCACAAGAATATCCGATGAGCAACAGATATAAACGGAAGTCTACAATATTATTTGTTCCATTATACCTGGGAGCACAGCATGAAGAATTGGACTTGAGCACTAACAAAAAGGAGCATAGCCTGACTCTCTCGTAACTAATGATTAACTACATTCTTGCCCAATGTCGACTTCCAATCGAGGTTTGCAGTTCATGGCAATATAAGGGTATTTACAAGGCAAGATCTGAATATTCTAGCTGGTGGTGTGTGTGTGTGTGTGTGTGTGTGAGAGAGAGAGAGAGAGGGGGGGGGGTTGGAGGCAGAGTGCACAAATTAGGACTGGTTCACACATTACAGTTGCCATGGGAATGCTGTCAAAAATGGCTACCCAGTGATGCTCACAAGGTTTCAAGCACTGACTACGCAACAGCCACATAATACTTGCAAAAGTGGCCCTCTATGCCCACAGTAACCACCGTTGTCTGGCACAGTGTGCTGGCTAATACTGGGCACGATGAAAAGGTAGCAAATGGTTAGTTATTTAATTTATTGTTGTTCCATTTTCCTTCCCAGAGTAGAGGAGAGTGTTTATGGGTTTTTTTCTATGTAAGATGCTAAAATAACTCTACTGGCCTTAGGTACTATGGAGAGATGCCATTTTCTGCTGTACCTCAGGCAATAACTTGAGTGGGCCCCAACTGTGGGGCAGTGAAAAACCACAGTGTAGTATGTGTGTGTGTGGGGGGGTCACATTGTACGAGAAATACTTCCAAACATTAGTGACCAGCTGGAATTTGCTTGCCAAAACAATATTTTTTCTAAGGTTATCCCCCATCCTAACCATATCCCCTGCTTTGGGACATACATGTTCATTGCATAGTGCATAATACCACCATACATACATTATAGGCTGCTGGTGTTAAGCCACATTTCCAACATGTTGTAGCATTTGCTTCTCCACCTTTCAGCAAATGCAGTCCCCAACCATAACAGCTACACCTACAAAGCTACACCTACCTTCTTTGATACAACCATTAAAGGTACAGAAATGCTGCCCTATGTCATCATACCTATACAGACAAAACCTCAGCAATGACATCAAAGGCACCTCTCCTTCTTCTTTTTTGCAAAGCAAATGAATATGCAAAACCCTCTCCCTTCTATGTTTATGCAAAATTTCTTGGATCCATATACCTGCTTTTAGCCTCCTTGTTTTCTATTCACACTTCAGTTGTGCATAACAACACACACTCTCAAAGTTCAGTGAGATGGAAAATTGGTTTCTACTTAATACGGAGTATTTTCAGCTGGGTGGTTCTACCATTTCATACATACTAACAATGTAGAATTTGCAGTCTACTCAGAAGTTGCAGTGCAATCCAGAGTGTTCAACGGAACTTACTCCTAACTGGTTTACAGCTGAGGCTCAAGCATCACCATGCATGCACACAAAAGTGCCTCTTAATATGGTCCAAGTCTTCATTTCTGATGCTCTGGAGGCAGGGTGGGTTACAATGCTAGTAGAACTCCCACCTTGATAAGATGGTAAGAACAATTACATGAGAGAAAAACCCATTGAATTAGCGGGACATACTTCTGAATAAACGTGTTTAGGGTCACACTGCACAGCTCTCTTCTCAAGCATCCCTGAAACTACAGCTGAGTCAAACCACTCACATCTTTAACTGCACAATGGAAATCTGAAAGGAATGACTCTGGAACTTGTATAACTCTTATAGCCAAATCCCAATGAATTAGGAGTATTTAGGATTGCAGCCTTAGAGAAGTAAAATACAGATGTATCAACCACATCGTTCGAACACTGAGATCTATTTTCTGCATCGGTTTAAAATTCAACTACTTACCCTTCTGCGCAGAGCAACATATCCATAGCAGAAGCAGAGCAGTATAGCTCAGCAAATGTGGCATCGTTAGCTGAGCCTTGCAAAGGGTTGACACCCTTTGCAAACGGATTCTGCCTGGTTGCCTTTTAGTCTCTGCTACATCCACTTAGCCTCTCCTGATTGTGCCAAGGAATGACCTTGCTTAAGCTTTTTCTTCTCACTTCACCAATCACTTCCCCCTCTAACCCTGTTGCAACATGCACACAATCAGCCTTTTCTTTTGGCAGAGAATTATGCAAACGAAGTAGAAAATACTTCCCCAATTTCTCAACTGCCTCTGTCCTGCCTGCTCTGTTTGCTTTCACTCTTTCACGCTTCACATATGTGGCTATTTTCATTGGGAATTTCCCAGAAAACTCAAACAGAGTTGCACTGGGCTACAAGCTGCCCAAAGGATTCCAGATTTTACAGAGGTTCCAGAATTTTACCATATGGGCTGCTAACATTTACACCTATTCCTTGCTCTTCACCAACACTAACCCCAAACATGGTTCATGACATCTTATTCAGTTCTTCTGATAATATTATTGGGGGAAGGGACCTGCATCATTTACATAAGGTCAACAAGGTACAGTGGTACCTCGGGTTAAGTACTTAATTCGTTTCGGAGGTCCGTTCTTAACCTGAAACTGTTCTTAACCTGAAGCACCACTTTAGCTAATGGGGCCTCCTGCTGCCGCTGTGCCGCCAGAGCACGATTTCTGTTCTCATCCTGAAGCAAAGTTCTTAACCTGAGGTACTATTTCTGGGTTAGCAGAGTCTGTAACCTGAAGCGTATGTAACCTGAAGCGTATGTAACCTGAAGTACCACTGTATTGGGTGCTGCACGTTAACGTACGGTACTTATTTATTAGAAACATTTCAACTCAAGGCAGCTGGCTGCAAGGATAAAAACGTGTATTTACAATTTAAAATGAAGTAATCTAAAATAAATCTTAAAGTATAACACTAAAACAGTAAAGGAGCAGCAGAAAATTACAGAAGACAGCAGGCAGGAATGGGTAAATCTGTCAGTCTTTCAGTTTATCATTTCCCCACAAAAGTTCAGTTCTCCACATTTACATGTCAGTTTGCAACTTTCCTTTTTAAAAGTTCTCAGAAAGTTCATCAGAATGTTAGTGTGGATTTATTCCCCCCCCCCCCCAAAAAAACTTTTGCCTAGGCAAATTTTTGCCTAGTATACTTTTTTTTTTGCAAAGCAGTTTTCCCTAATAAAATGTATTTTTATATGCTATTTTCACTAATATATGAATTGATTGCAAAATTCAGGGAGTGGTCTCAATACGTGGGAGAACAAAGTAGAGACCTTTGCAATAGAAAAGCAAGGCAAGGAGCCTGCTTTTATGGATGAACTATAATGGAAGTTGAATGTCTTTGGAAAAATTGGGTGCAATTCCACCTCTGACAGCATTTGGATGTCACAGCAAAGAATGGTTACAGTGCAATGATAAGCTATAAGACTATGCAAGCCTCAGTATAGCACACACAGCCATGCAGAATGTCTGAGGATGAAATCAGCAGCTTTTGTTTACATTTTACTGACAGCAGTGTAGTGTTACATTTGAACTCAGACAAACTGTGGTTAGTTAGAACTATGGTTTACTAAAACAAGCCGATTTCAAACCATGGTTTATGAAGCTGGCTTGTTTCAGGAAACTTAATATTAGCCACAAGTGTTTTTTTTTTGGGTTCAGATGTAATACTAAATTGGGGATAATTGAAAATAAAATTGTTGCCTAGGCTCATATCTGTAATTAAAAGCCACCATTTACATTGTTCCCGAACACCTTTAAAAGTAACTGCGTTAAAGCAATCTAAACAAATCAATGGTGTAGGCTTCCTTGGAAAAATACATTGAAAAATAATCTCAATGAAGTGTGCACAAGATTGTAGCAACTACCTATTGCTAGGTGTGCTTATTCATAAATGAGTTCTACAGAATTCAGTAGGACTTATTTCCTGGTCAACGAACTTAACATTTAAGTCTTAGAGTCAATTGTTGCCCTTTGGTTCAGGCAGCAAAACGAACTTCATTGTGCTTTCAATTCGGCATGAAGGAACCCTGTACACACAGGGATGCACAAAAGGCCTATAGAAGATATCCAGTTACTTCTCTTGCATCTCAGATTTTGATGTACCAACAGCTCAGAATTTGCCAAGGAATTCGACAAGGACTAGAACCCCCATGAACATTTTTATGTGATTTGGCATTCCTTTATAACATATACAGCGGAAGCATCATTTTCAAGACTAGCCTTCGTCATTCACAAGCCTGGTGAATCTGGGGCTATGTCTGATGATCTGAAAATGCTGATAATCTTTACCTGGACTTTATTTTAACCCATGAGGCAACTACTCATTCTGCGTGCCTATTTTATGGTTTTGTATTTCATCTTCCAATTTTTGTCTGTTATAATCGTTCTGTTTTATATACATTATAAAATGAAATAATAACTTTTACCCCCCCCCCCCAATTCTGCCACCATCTATAGATGTTCTATATTTTCAGAATACTAAATTTGGTGTACAAAAGGGAGGCTCAGGATCACTCTTCTAATGAGAAGATTGAATTATCTGCTTTCCCCAAAATATTCCTACCATCTCTGTATGATTCTTTTGGGGGAAGAGAGATGCAAAGGTATAATACATCTCAATGAGAACAAATGAAAAAAAAGTAGTAATTCTGTTTTTGTTTTTTTATTTTTTTTTTAAAAGCAATTTATTGGGTTTTACAATAAAAATAAACATATTAAACAATATGACCTTTGTCTTGACATAATTTCACATTTTCTTTGGACTTCCTCACATCTCCCGCTCCCACTTTCATCGTTATAACATTTTGTCAGCAATTTATCATCTTATTTAAATTCTTATATCGCTTCTATATTTCATAATCTTATAATTTTCAAAGGGAATTAGATTTTCACAGTCTTACTTATTTTCATAGAAAACTTCTAAATTTAGTGGTGCTCAATTATTTTGGTCTAGCATCTTATTTAGCATTCACTCAAATTGCAATATTTTTGTAAATAGTTCTTGAATTTCTTCCAATCCTCCTCAATCCTTTCTTCTCCCAGGTCACGGATTCTGCCGGTCATTTCAGCCAGTTCCATGTAGTCTATCAGTTGCATCTGCCATTCTTCCAGTGTGGGTAGATCTTGAGTTTTCCAATGTTTTGCAAGAAGTATCCTTGCTGCTGTTGTTGCATACATAAAAATGTCTGATCCTTCCTTGCCACCCCTTGGCCGACAATACCCAAAAGGAAAGCCTCTGGTTTCTTAGTGAAGGTATATTTAAATACCTTTTTCAATTCGTTATAAATCATCTCCCAGAACGCCTTCACTTTAGGGCAAGTCCACCAGAGGTGGAAGAACGTTCCCTCAGACTCTTTACATTTCCAACACTTATTATCAGACAGGTGGTAGATTTTTGCAAGTTTGACTGGGGTCATATACCATCTATAAATCATTTTCATTACATTTTCTTTCAGAGCGTTACATGCAGTAAACTTCAATCCATTACTCCACAACCTTTCCCAGTCCTCAAACATAATATTATACCCAATGTCCTGTGCCCACCTTATCATAGCCGATTTAACCGTTTCATCTTGTGTATTCCATTCCAACAGCAAGTTATACATCCTTGAAAGTACCTTAATCTTTGGTTCTAACAATTCTGTTTCTAGTTTCGATTTCTCCACCTGGAACCCTAATTTCTTATCATTTTTAAAAACTTCTTTAATCTGAGCGTAATGTAACCAATCTCGCACTTTGTCTTTCATTTTCTCCAAACTCTGCAATTTCCAATTGTCTCCATCCTTTTCTAATATTTCCCAATATTTTGGCCATTTAGCCTCCATATTGGGTCTTTTTCGGCCTTAGCTTCCAAAGGTGAAAGCCACCTTGGTGTTTTGTTTTCCAGCAAGTCTTTATATTTTGTCCAGACATTAAACAGTGATTTTCTGACAATATGGTTCTTGAAGGCCTTATTTGCTTTAACTTTGTCATACCATAAATATGCATGCCATCCAAAAACATTGTTAAACCCTTCCAGATCTAACACATCAGTGTCTTCAAGAAGTAGCCAGTCTTTTAGCCAGCAGAACGCTGCGGCTTCATAATACAACTTTAAGTCTGGCAGGGCAAAGCCCTGTTTTTGTTTTTTTTTTAAAGACCTCTTAACAGCAACCCAGTCTTGAATAAGTTTACCCAAAGTTTGAGATCCATTAAACTGAATGGGTGCACTGGATTGAAGTCTTAGAAGCTGAAATATCCCATTCTTTCCCCTTTGATGTTTTTGAGTCTTCTGTCCTTTTACTCTGTTCTTTGCTCTCCCCTCCCCATTCAGTTCACTTTTCATCAATATCCAGCCCCTCATTCCAGCTGGCTTTATGGTTAACTTCTTCAGCCTCCTCTAAACTTTGGCCAGCCGAAATTAAGTTTATCGTTAGTTTTGGCCTAAGAATTATCCAAGGGAGTACCTTCTCGGAACATGAAAACAAACAGTCCTTCTGCAATGTTTGCTAACTAGACATGTCAGCATGGTAGGGAGGCAGAAGATCAGACAGATATTTGTGGTACCATAAATGGCTGGGGAAATTGCTTTCTTAACCTTTTTTTACTCCCTTTAGTATGTTACTGTTGTTACAAGGAAGATTTTCTAAACCCAGATGTATTTCTTTAACAATAGGGAAAGGTAGAAATTTTAAGCCTAGAGTTTTCTGTTTTAATGTTTTGAGAAACCTGATGTTTGCACAGATCAACAAACAGAGTAAAAGAAAAACTTTAAAAAGGGGAAGAGAAAGAATAGCAGTCCATTTTAAGTTAATAGATAAGTAACTATTTACCTTACATTTATATATATAATTTTATTGTCAGTCCAAGCACTTGTGGGTTTTTTTTTCTAAATTGCTCAATTGCAGTCTAGATCCATTGCATATTTTCTGAAACTGAAAAGTGGTTTTAGAGTAATTGGTTGCATTCTGAAAACAAAGGCTCATTGCAGATTGACTCTGCAGCACCCCACAGTATGTCCATTTGAAAACAGATGATAGCACAGGTAAGTGGACCTGGCAATGCAGGCTGCATCCGTACATCCCCGTTGACATGTGTGGCCAATGTACCACGATGTTATTTATTTATTGGGTACAGTTCTATATCACCCTTCATCCAAAGATCACACAGTGGTTTACAATATAAAAACACAAAAAATAGCAAATAATAGCAAAACCAAGAAACCCTCCCA